GGGAAGGGGGGTGATGTACGTGGGGTGGTCCCCAGGCATCAGTGGGACCAGCATCACACCCAGCATCCAGGACCACCCACTTGTGTGTCCCTGCAGCTACGTGTGCCCTAGGCGAGCTCCATCGGGGTCCTACCTTGTCTGGACTCGCCTGGACAAAGACTGAGGTTATTACTCAAAAAGCAGTTACCTAATGCCTGGCCCCAAAATGGCAGATCCCAGGCAGCGCAGCAGTAGAAATAATAAATAACTTATGAAATGTCTGCCGCATTTCCCACTCCTGGAAGGAGGCTGTGTTTACCGCTGCAGTGCCTGTGATCTTTCACTCCTCCGACCGGCGAGGGACAGGGCTTGTCGTGCGCCTGGTTCCCGGGCTGAAGCACAGCAGGCTGCCAGCATTTCTATAATTATCCCTCCAATCAATTAAAAAGCGGTACCAAAGCAAAGCTGGGAGACGATCGCTGGGCCACGGGCTGTGTTAAGGTCGGGGACAGGAGGGAGGTGTCCCCAAAGGGTCCCTGAGCAGCACGGTTGCAGACACGTGCCTGCAAAGGGGGCAGACCCTGGGTGCTGGAGAAGATGCCATTTGCTGGCAGCTTGACCCGTGCTTGTTGGCCTGTTTTTTTTTTTTAACGTGAACAGTGAGATGGCCTGTGCACCCACGCTGCAGGAAGGGAGATGATAACAAACTGGCAGAGGAAAAGAGTCATCAGGACCATCGGCAGCAGCAGCATCCCATGAAGATGCAGCGCCGTGGGAGTGCCCCATCTCCCCACGCAGCACCGCTCCTCCATCCCCGGCTGGTCCTTCCTCTCCTGACCTACTTTAGGGCTGTGGCAAAAAGGTGTCAAGCCGGTTTCTCATCACCCCCATGTTACCTGGCCCATGAGAGAGATGCTGCGGAGATGAATCACTCGCCGCGATGAGTCGACGTTTACCCGGAAGGAGGTTTCGGGCTGGAAGATAACATCATCGTAGTGGCACGGGACACGTTCCTCGTCCACAGAAAAGATGCGCCCGCCCAGGTCGAGCTCCCTGTTGGGGGACACAGGCTGCCACAGCGTGGGGTCAAACCACGCGTGGTGCTCAGCATCAGCAAACCTCACTGTTGCACCTGGAAAAGCAATAGGAAAGGTTGAGCATGACCCAGACCCAAATCCTCAGCCCTGACGGATGCTTCTGGGTTGGTAAAACCAGTAAGTGTTTGGCTCAAAGCAGAGTTCACCCCGTGGGCAGGGAGCAAAGGGCTGGCCCTGGCATCCCCTTCCCAGGTGGCCACAGCAGGTGCCTCTCAGAGCCCGGCAGAGGCTCGGCAAAGATTTACAGGGCTCAGGGGTGAGGTCTCAGCAGCTCAGCCCACCCCCCCCACTTCTGGATGCAGACCTCTGGCCCCACATCCTACATTTTTCCCCCACTTCTTTAAAGCCCACCCTCATGGTTAGGGAGGAGAACAGCCGTGGAGCCTAAATGCTGAGTATCAGCTAAACCGGATAAAAACGGGTATGATAATTCATGTCCCAGTTTCCATGTAGCCTGGCAGGCCTGCAGAAACGTGACCAGCCCTGTTCCCTGCAGTGGATAACCCCAACCCTAGCACACCATTTAACCATTAATTATTTAACAATTAACCATTTCCCTGCTGGTTATAGTTAGTATCATCAAACAGTGATGCCCTGCTTCCTTCTCACCCTTCTCCAACAGCTGAACCTTTACCGATTCAGCTATCAAACGGGTGTTTATTGATTGAATTATTTGCACTCATTTTTAAATCAAGCTCTAAAAAAAAATCCATTTGTGAAATTTGCTCCAGAAACGCCTGTTGATTTCAGGGGAGCAGCACATGGTCAGAAGGATAAGCCTGGTGCAAGGCAGAGGCAGCTGCCGGAGCATCCCTAATGGGGGCAAACAGCCCCAGTCCGAAAAGATGATGGGGATGAAGGATTTTGGAGTGGCTCTGGAGAGTCTGTTGCTGCAGTTCCTCCTCCAGGCAGACCTGTTTGGACTTTTTCTCTTTTTATCTTTGTTTTTACTGGTCAGAGTGCAGGCACATAGGCTCATCTTGGACTCTTCCTTTCCTGTGGCCAAACTAAAAAGTTACTTGCTACTGAAAGCAGTAGGTAGCTCTTAAATATCCCAAAATATATCTCCCTAGCAAACAGCTTTCAAGCTAATAACAGGCACTGATGAGACAAAGCTGCTGCCTCAGTGATGGCAAACCTGTGCTGGAGGCTAAGAGGGGAGGGAAGGATGCTCTCGCACCCAAATGCCTGCGTGCATTGGGCCAAAGGCCAGCTCGCTGCGATGGCCACGGTTCAGCTTGCCAACGTGTAATTCCTAACCAGTTTTCTTTAGACATACCATGGCAAAGAAAATGAGGGCTTTGATGTGGCTACATGCTTAATAGGCAGGGTAAAATACAAACAATATTTGCCTCTCTGCTACAACTTCAAAGGCTTCCCTGCTATAATTACTTTTTCAGAAGGCAGGTGATGTAGCAGGAAAGAAAGATCTGATGTGAGGGAGGTCATCAAAGAAAAGGTAGGTATTAAAAGAGGAGTGATTCACTTTGCTCTGAGGTGGGACAGCAAAGACCTTTGTGGAAGTGTTGGGGCTGAATTTGCATGATTAGTCAGGGGCCGATGGGCTGACTGGTCTGGGCATAAAATACCTGAGTCACAGCCTGGATCCCAGCTGCCATCGAAAGCCGCAAATCCTGCACCAGATGCCAGCACGAATTCTCCGTTCAGGGGCAGGTACTAGACGAAGGGATTCAGAGTATTACCGTGCGGTCCCGCTGCCAGCCACCCAGGCTTGTAATCAAATAACAGTGCTAATTATTAGGCTGCCTGTTACACTTGCTGTCTCTGAGGCACTTTATAGTCATTAGGAGTTACCCTCGCCGTGCCCTGTGTTAATGGGAAAGTATCAGCTCCCGTTTTTACAGATGGGGACGCTGCAACGGGGAGAGGCAGTTTCACATTACCTTCCAGTAACACAGAAAAGCATGAAGCTTTCAGGGAAGCAAGAACAAGGGAAAAGCAAAATAAGCTCCTTCGACAGCTCCTTCCTCCTCTTGCACACCCACTCCAGGCAGCTCAGGAGTGGCTTTATACATTGGTATGCCATGAAAAACCCAACCTTACCCTGCAACTGCCCAGAGGTCTCCTTGCTTGATGGGTTCCCACCTCCAGGGGCTCTGCTTGCCCCACAAAAAATAACTCAGGAGCCCACGCAGTGCTTGGGGAGGTGTCAGCTAGTAAAGTTGTGCTCAGGGAGAGCTAAGGAAAGCGCACATCAGCAGTCGATGCAGCTTGCCATAGCTAGACCTTCTTCTTGTACCCTCTGGGTAGGACATCAACACCAGGTAGTTGGGGCCACCACACTTGCTTGGCTTCATTTTGGCCAGGTTTCTGCTCCAGGGCATGACAACAAACCTCAACAGGCACAGCTCTGCCACAGGAGCCCTTTGGGTGAAGAGCTGTGGCTACCCTGGTCACCAGCTGACACTGCCAACTCTGGAACACACCTTGGCCACTGACCGAGTCAGGCAACTCATTCACAGCACATGGATCATTCAACCCAGCCCATCTTATTCTCCATTTAGAAACTGGCAAAGAGAAAATCAGATTTCCCCCCAATATTTTCACATGTTAAGGAATGATTTTCAAGGACATCTTTTCCTTTAGCTCAGCCTATCCGGGATTTTAGCATCACTCCCCAGACAGCAGCTGGAAGCCCTCCAGGGCTGTGTTATGCCGATGCACTGGGTCCTGTGCTCAGGCAGAAGCACGCTAGATGGGACTTTAAGGTTTCATCTACTTAATTGGTCTTTAAATATGTATGTAGGTTAGAGAAAGCAAGACTTATGAATGACTGCTGCGGGTGGCTGCAATAGCTCGCTGTCCTTGGGGCCTTCTTGCCTGAGGATGCTCTGTCCCACACAGGTGCCACCTTGCAGGGGGGGTGAAAATGGGAAAAGTCCCTTACCCTCCAAGCTGTAAGCAGCTGTTTAGAAATTTAGTGCCTTGTTGTGGTGGTGTTTTGAAGCCCATAGCCCATGTCCCCCTCTTGGTTCAGGAGCTGTGAGAAGCCAGGGTGGACAGCAGAGGGTGGCCACCACTAAGAAGAGCCCTGCAGCACACCTTTTGCTTCAGACCCAGCAACATCATATGTTGGGCTGGAGAAAAGGGGATGATGATGTGAATAGCTGAGGTCTAGGCAACATCTGCCCCAAGGGTATGGAGTTTCCCCAATGGCCAGGAAGAGGCTTTTGCCTACAGGCCCTGTTTCATGAGACCATAGCCCGTGTCATGCCTAACTGGAAACACCATCATGTTCTCTGAATTTCTATTACTCTTGAGTAAAGCAAATTTTTCCGATGCTGAAGCACTGAAAGAGGCTGAAAGATCTGCCAGGATACAAATGGCAACATGCCCTGTAACTGCAGATATAAAAGCTGTGTCTACTCGTGTTTGGGGAGAGTGAGGATGAGGTGGGCTTGCTTGGTTAGAGCTACACAGACAGAGATGCACAAATGCTGGTCCAATGACCAACCGAGGTCACGTCCTCCTGTGCCTGGGTGGCCCAGGTGAGGCAGGGTCCACAGTGCACAGCACCAATCCTATCCATGGGGAGAGGTGCAAGAAAATTCCTTGTGCTAAACCTGCCCCACACCTGCAGGGCTCAGGATACACTGGCCTCTGGGCTCCCTGGAGAAGATGCAGCTTCTCCAGCTACCACTGGAGATCCCCCTCCACCACCAAGCCAAAACTCCAGGCTGTCTGGACTTCCCAAGCCCAGAGGAAGTTGTCCACATGAGTGTGAGTGTAGCAGGGACATGAGAGTCCCACAGCACACACGGTGTCCCAGCTGCTGACTCCCTCACCCTGTGGGACTGCCTGCACCCTGTCAGCACCTGCCCAGGAATTAAAATGCAACACAGCACAGCATGAGGATGGAGGCACCTCATCCCCACAAACATGACCTGCAAGAATAGCCCTGCACTCCTGCTTCGTAGCAGGAATTTTTGAGGCTGGTCCCTGCAGCTGCAGCTCCTTGCCCACCAAGGCAGACATGTTGCCCATCCACCACCAGCCCTCTCCGAGATACGTGCCACTGGGCAGTATTTCAGAAGTGGTTCTGTTGTCCAGTGGACCTTAGTTGCAAATAATTTGCCCTTTCTTTTTTTCCTACCTTAAGTTAAGCATCCCAGCTCACTGCAGAGGACAAGTGGAGGCTCCAGTTGGGCAGTGGCATTCTGCATTTTGGAGTTTAGTATAGAAATTGCATATAGGCTGGGCCATTTTCCAAGTACATTTTGAACTGAGCAATGACATGTACCAAAGGACCAGAGCCAAAAAGCTGGCAGTTTCATCTGCTTTCCCTTGCTCCTGCCAACCTGTACTCCAGGGCCATTAATACAGCGAGCTTAGAGTCCCATTAGTCATTTACCATCCCTGATACTGGTAAATAACTTATCTCTTTGGTCATCATTACCAAGTGTAATGACATCTGAAACACAGTCATCATTTTTCTCATCCAAGTCAGCAAAAAAAAAGAGGAAAGAACCCATGTGGCTCTTGACTCACAGTCACCATGTTTGCGAGCCCAGCGTTGCACCACTGAGACCCTGCTGCCCCGTGTGTAAGTGAAAATGAAATGTTAACTTCTGAAAGGCAAAAGGGAAAAACAGCAAAGGTCTGAGAGGCGGTTTTTGAAGTGGGTGGCTTTGAACCAACCTTTGGCATGTCCCAGTTCTGCTCGATTCATGCGATGGCAGTCATCAGCAGCGTGACTGGTGTGTCACCGCCATCAGCGCAGGAAAAAATGCAGCACTTCTGCTTTGAACCCGTGTGAGCGATGCTTGTCATTGCAGCTGGCTCTTCCCCCAGCTTTCTTTTAATTAACAGCATCAATGCATTTGAATTCTTTTCTCGGGTGAGACGGTACCATTTTCCCACCCCATGAAACCTGTGCTTGGGCAGGCTGGTCCCGTGCAGAGCAGGGCAGGGACCCATCAGTGGTGGGCAGAAGATGCTCACCAACCCTCCTCTGCTCCTAGCAGTATCTCATCCCTCTGCTTTTGCCCCCCTCCTGGAGCAGGCAGGGCCATGGGCAAAGGAGCAGAGCACCAGTGGGATGTCATCATTTCGGCATCATCCCCTGCAAGCTACGGAGGTGCTTGGCAGCTGTCCCCTGCCTGCGTCCCTGCCTCCCCTCCTGCAAGGCAGGGCCCTTTAGCAGCAGCCAAAGATTATTTTGACATTCCTCTGACACCTCTGCTCGTCATGTTTTACATTGCTCCCCACTTCTCCTGCCCACATACCCTGGCACAGAGGTGGCCCAGCACGTCGGGTTCCTGAAACATCACACTCCTGCCCATCCCACAAAGCAGCGGCAACCCCTGGCCATCCTGCGCAGGTGCTGGTTGGCACACCCCTCCCAAACCACCCCCCAGAGTCCAACAAAAGCTGCCAGTTGATACAAAAAACAACAGCTCCCAAAAAGCCATTAATTTAAATGCAGACCCCCAGCATACACCTCCAGACATGGAGCCAATAAGGTCCCAGCAGGGTGCAGAAATCAGGTGTCCCAGGGAGGGACAAGCAGACGGCAGGAGCCCCTTGGGGAGCACGTTAAGGTAAAACAGCCCAAGATCATAGAATTATAGAATCATAGAGGGGTTTGGGTTGGAAGGCACCTCAAAGATCATCGAGTTCCAACACCCCTGCCATGGGCAGGGACACCTCCCACCAGACCAGGTTGCTCAAAGCCCCATCCAGCCTGGCCTTGAACACTTCCAGGGATGGGGCAGCCACAACTCCTCTGGGCAACCTGTTCCAGTGTCTCACCACCCTCACAGTAAAAAAAAGATGCTTGGGTTGCGGGTGCAGAAGGCACACAGAGGCTTAAAGCCATTTGCCAAATCTACTTCAGGTTAGTTCAGCCCATTTTCCTGCGCTTCCCTCTGCAGACAAGGTCAGGGAGAGCTGGAAAGTGGCTCAAGGTGCGGGCAGGGGACCCCATCCCAGCAGCGAGGGGTGGCAGCCGGGGCATGGAGCTGCCACGCAGCCAGATCTGCCCCAGCATCCACTCCAGCCCGGGATGCCGGCAAGCTGCTCGGCTGATCGCAGGCTTTAATAACTCCTCCTGCTGGAAACGAGCCTTCAAGGAGCAAATAAACACGGGTTGGCAACTGTAAAAGGCTGTTTTACCGCACTCCTTTCCTAGGGAAAGCCTTCAGCGGGAATGCTGCCGGAGAAAAGCCTGGAGGATTCAGGCTTGTAATGATGTGCTGGCACAGACGCACGCACACACACACACACTCCTGCGAATGTTTTTTTTTTACCTTCATCTCAGGAGAAGGAAAAATAATCCCTTTTCTGGGTGTCTCGTTACCCTGCTGTTTGGGAAGCGGTGGGGAGGGAGCGCCGGTGCCTGGGACGAGCTCAAACCGTGGCAATTCATTAGAGCCGGCGCCCCTGGAGAGCAATTGGCATTTCGAGATCAATCTCTGCCAGGAACCGAGCGGGAGCATCCTGCAGCAATGCCGAGTACATTCTGCTCTCGCAATTAGGCAGCTAAAAATATAAGGCTGGGCGAGACGTCCCTGGTTAGACCCTGGTACCCCGCAGGTTCCCGACCCTCGCCCAGCCTGTGCAGCCCCTCACTGGGCTGTCAGGGATGGGGTGAAGGCAGGGAGGAGGTGCAGGCAGCTGCCACCAGCGTGGCAGGGCTCGGTGATGGGGCAGAGCTGGAAAGGTGACGTTGGTGCTGCCAAATAATCCCAGCCACTGTCCTGACCCCGGCACCGTGGGGGTTGGAGCGAGGCTGCTCTGCCCACGTGGCTAAACCCGACTCCTGCCACCCCAAAAATAGCAAGTGGCATCATCCATCCCTGGCCCATGCTGCAGTGCTGGCCAGCTCGGGCACAAACCGCGCCAGGGCTGGTGCTATCGGGGCAAACGCTGGGCTCGCAGCCATGGCTGTGCCCTGGCCTGGCTCCCTTTGGAAACACAGCCATGGCCAGAGGGTCCAAACCCCTCGGAGGAGCCCTTCTCCCCCAGCAGAGAGACAAGTAAAACCAAAACCTGCCTTGCCCTGGAGCACCCATGGCAGGTGCTGCCAACCTGACCACCCACATCAGGTGCTGCCAACCTGACCACCTTCATCTTTTTTGCAGATTTACCCTCAGGCGCCTCTGGAAGTCAGCTAAATACTGATCTGCATCTTTAGGCAGCTAAATACCATAGAAAATCCAACTTAATCACAACGGTTGTGCTTCAAAGTCACTTACACTTAAGCTGGATTTGGATTTAGTGTGTGACTGAATTAGGGACCCACAAGAGACTTCAGACCAAATAACCTCCAAGCTGGGTGATAAAACATAGAATGGCTAGAGTTGGAAAGGATTATTGAGTTCCAACCCCCCTGCCATGGGCAGGGACACCTCCCACCAGACCAGGTTGTTCAAAGTCCCATCCACCTTGGTCTTGAACCCCTCCAGGGATGGGGCAGCCACAGCTTCTCTGGGCAACCTGTTCCAGTGTCTCACCACCCCCACAGTAAAGAATTTCTTTCTAAAATCTAATCTAAATCTCTCCTCTTTCATTTTAAAACCATAAATGGGTTTCCCCCCAAGTGAGGAGGTAGGCTGCACGCCACAGCAGCCCCAGCTTCCTCCCGAGAAAGCAGCTCCCAGTGTTCAACTGGTTCCTGCATGGGATGGATGGGGAGGGGAAGCTGGAGGGCTCACCACACAGAATCGATATATATGTCTAGAGGGGGCTGATGGTGGCACAAGAGGACTCCCTGGCACCCTGGGTCTTGCTCCACTCAGTTGGAGAGACAGGATGGGAGGTCTCATGCTGTCCCTCTGCCGGTGGGGCACCAGCCTCAAGCATCCCCCCTGCTCCCACCACGGCGGGCACCATCCTCATGAAAGTCAATGAGAGCCCAGCCCCTTCCCCGGCCATGAATTTCCTCCTGTGCTACTACAGCAAGCAACTCTCTCCTTTTTTTTTTTTTTCCTTTTTTTTTTTGACCAAAGCCTGTATCGCATCTCCATGGCGACTCTAAAGCTTAATGTATTCCTGCTGATTTAAGTGATTAATGCTCCGGCGCGACGCGGCCGGCAGCCGAACAGGTGCAGCCCAGCCTCGCTGCAAAAAGCCTCGCGACCAATTCATTTTCTCACCACCCTCTTGCCAAATTTCACGCCATCCCCACAAGTGGCAGACGGGCTCAGGTGCTGGGCTCCATTCCTTTCTCATCCCTAATTTTGGCGGCCCCCTTTGTCACCTGGTGACAACAGAGCAGGGCGGCGCATGGGGGGGGAGGTGGCTGAGCTGAAATTAAAAAGAAATATTAAACCACCACGCTAGGAAACTGGCTGGGACAGTTCATTGCAAATGGTTGGGGTGGTGATGCTCAGGAGGAAAGTGGGAGCTGCGGTTCGGGTTATAGCCTGGGATGAGCTTGGTTGCCCACAGGAGATGCAGCAGTGGGGTGAGATGGCAACCAGAGGGGAATGGTGCCAAGCTCTCACAGCTAGTGCTGCCACCAGGATTTACTCCCTGCTGGCCCCCCCAGCCCTCCTCTCCTCCTGCAGGGCGGTGGGACTACAATATTCACTGTAACCCTGGAGCCAGCACGGCTGCTTGCCAGCAGTGGGATCCTGGAGAAACCCCGGGGCACCAGAGGATCTGTGGGGGCTCCCTCAAGGACCACGGGATCCTTTAATCGGGATGAGTCGGGGGCACCCAGACCCTGTCGCTCAGCCGTGCTGGGAAAGGTCCAGTGCATGGCCACGGATGGTGTCAGTCGTGCAAAGGCTGTGTTGGACCTCCCTCTCCTGCCACCAGCCTCAGGGCTGCTCAGCTCCCCTCTTCAGCTAGGAGAAGGCTCACGCCGTCACGAATAACACCACTTGGCAATTATGCACTTTGCATGGCCTCTGATGAAAGTACTTCAGAAATATTATACATTCATCTGTAAGTAAAATAAAAATCTATTGGAGTGATATTTTGCTCTTTTCTTCTCTGGGTAAATTCCACATCATTTATTACATTATATTTGTACGTCTTTCCCCAGTACATTCTTTCCTTCTAAAATTCATATTTTAAATGCCATATAAATAAAGTAACTCCTCCAAATATTTGTAGAGGGATTAAATGTGGTGCATGGCGTTATTAAAGCATCAAAACTATTAGTGGCATAGACAGCCTGAACAAATTACACCGTATAAATTTCAAGGGCTTCCCTGGATTTAATGGTCAATAAAAGACCTAAAACCAAGAGAGAAAATTTGGTCACAAGATCATTCTGTCCAGGAGGAAGGTTTTGCCAACAGGATCCATCCCGTTTTGTGCCCTCCCAGTGCTGGGGTGGGACTCAACGGTGGCCTGTCCTGTGTTGGTGTGTTGAGGCAGCTGGTTTGCTTTTCCTTTTAATTATTCCCTGTTAAATTTGACACTCCAAACTGTGGGGATCAGGACCCCATACTTTCATGGCTGCCTTCTCCGGGCAGGACTACTCTTCCGAGGGAACACCAGGTTGCTCAGAAACTCCTCTGGGGTGAGACCCCTGATCTTATCTCACCCAACACACGCATTTCAGTACAGTGTCATGACCGTCCTGCCTCGGCCAGGCTTATAATGGCACAGAAATATATAAAATCCAAAGGCACTTGAAAGAAAATTTCTCGAGAACATTTTGGGATCTCCCAGAACAGTGTGTTTTCCTTTCAAGATATTTTGATGTCAACTTCACTTAGTCTCTGCCTGGGGCTAGTGCCTGTTCCACATTAGCAATGCCTTGGGATGGTGTTCCTGAGCAAACTACCGCCAAGGTCTCAGCCCCATGGAGAGGGCTTTATCCTTCATTTGGAGAGGAAAAATTAAGTTCTTACAAATGAAAGTGGCTTTGGGGGTGCTCTCCCCCATGTCCCCTAATGAAAAAAAAATTAATCCCAGAAACTGACTTTTTGACATGGGCTACTGCAACTCTCGTCCCCTACCCCATCCTTGGTCTGGCTGGACCATGGAGCAAAATGTGAAGGTCCCTGGAGAGAGGGACCAGGGGATGTGCCACCTGGCACCATCCCTGTCCTCGCCCACCGTCCCAGACCCACCGCACGCAGCCTTACCATGTCTGTCAGCATGTGGGGGGATCCAACGAAGACTGAGACAACCTGTACGAAAAGCAGAAATAAAAATATGCCGTCCAGCGGCAGCCAAAGGGCTTTTCGATGCCCGATGGCATATTACAAAAAATAAAATAAAGATAAAAAGTAAAATAAAATAATAAAAATGTCTGATACCTTGTTCTTCTCAAAATGAACCACGTCGCTGGCACAGGGGACTCTGCCTTTATCCCAGTTGGATGCGGTTTCAAAATTGGTGTTGGGGATCCACTGCTTGTACACGGCGGTGGCAGCAGCTGGCAGGAGCAGGGAAACCAGTGTAACCAGGTCATGGGATGCCCTGTGAGCCCTCTCCACGGTGTGCTGTGGGGTGGCTCAGCTTTTTTTTGGGTCAGACTTAGGAATTTTCCACCCAAAAGCAGCCCCTGCGTGTTCCTAGTTGAGCAGTCACAGCCCTTCTTGGCAGAGGGTGTTATTTTGGCTGGGTGATGGCTTCTATCCACCCAGGTAGGAGCAGGAGTAAGACAGGCAGAGAGAAGGCAGGAATGTCCTGCAGGCAAGGGGCAAGAATAACATACACCTGGTACCCAAGCAATCATTCTGGTGGTGTTTGTTGCTACTCAAACTACCAAATGCACAGAGACCCCTCTACCTTGGTGTTTCCAGTAGGTATGGAGAAGACAGAGCTGGCAGGACCACGAGGACAGGGTGTGAGGAGAAAGGGCAGTTGTTATGGGGTGTGTAGCCTAAAATATGTTGTTAGGTGCTGGAGAGGGGGAATTCAGCACTGTCCCACAGCCTGAGGCACCGGCAGGTTGGGGAATGGAAGTCTTCCCCACAGGGCTTGCCGGGATGGCAATGGTCCTGCAGGAATGAGCCCACTGGCCAGGAAAGGGCCATGGCAGAGGTGGGTTTCCACTCTGACCTGCTCTGTGTGCACAAGCACAGCGGAGCCGTACACCTCCCAGCCTGACATTGCCCAGACTTGGCCGGGAGGTGAACATTCAGATGGACTTTCAGGATTCAGATGAATCTCCAGCAGCCTGAATTAAATGGGTTTGGGCAAGCGAGTTATGAGATGGAAAAGAAAAAGAATAAAACCTTTGCTCTTAATATGGATCATCTTTTCTTTAGGGGAAAACCCCCCACAAAAGTTCAAAATATATAGAAAGGCAGTGGTGGAGGGGAGCAGGCAGCAGAGTGGGACCTGGGGCTGGAGGGCGGGTGGAGAGGGGGCAGGAGGGGCTGCAGGGACCCCCTGGCCTGGGAAGGGAGCAGGGACTGAATGACTCTGCGGATGGAAGGAATAGACTGCAGAGGGCCTGGGCCCTGCTAGTCCACACGACAGGGAGGGACGTGGCAGGTTGTGCTCTGTAGGCTCTGCGGAGGTTTTATCAGCACCTAACGATCACCTCGGAGTGTCATTTGCATTCTCTGACTCTGCCGGGGGCTCTGCGGAGACCATTTGCTGCACATAGCCAGGCAAAGAGGAAAAGATGCATTTTTAACCAGAATGAAAGTCCTAATGTAGCCACAGGGTGTGAGGAGCAGAGGGGCTCCCCCAGCCCCACACCGGGCTGCAGCCACTGCTCCTGAAGGAGACTTTAGGCACAGCAAACAGCTCCCTGCCTCATAGCTACTTAAAAACCCACTGAGAGGGACAAAGACCCTAACAGCAATGAGAACCAGACCCAGGCAGCTGCTGGCAGTGCTGTGGGCACAAATACCGTGCTGGCTTGGAGTCGAAAAGAGCTTAAGAATGGAAAAAAGCCCCCAGATGGTAATTGCCAGTTGTTCCACCCCTCCCATCCTGGGAAGCTGGGGAAGGGAGAGATGAAGGCTCCAGCAGAAAGGCTCAGCCAGCCCCATGGCACACACCTTCCCTCACTTCCAAGGTGCTGTGTCACACGAGCTCGTGCCCCACCGCACCGTAGGGATGGCTCTGAGGGCCAACCCAACTGCGGTAGCACCGGGGGCATCTCCTCCAGCCAGGGGCGGTGGGTGGTGGAGGTTAATCTCCCGTTGCAAAGCCTTTTCCCCCCTACGCAGCTGGGCTGGTGCATGCCGGCACCCTCCACAGCCCTGGAAATATCAGCTCGCTATTTAATCAGCCTTGTCTCCAGGGAAGCGCAGTCCTTGAACATCAAAGCAACATGCATATTCAACAGAGCGTGTCCTGCAGTGCGGAGCTGCTGGCTTCCAAGTCAGAGCAGGAAAACCCGAGCTGCGGAGGTGCAGCGGGCACCATACGCTAATCCCAGCCTCACTCCCCTGCCTTCTCTCCATCCAGCTGGAAATGGCTTTTCCCATTGACGTTATAGATACACCTGAAGGGACAGAACCTGCAGCTCTGCTCCAAACCAGGATTGCCAAAAAGCACACCCAAAACGGGAAAGTAGTCCAGCAGCCACCCCTGCTCGCCGTGGTGGCCGAGCCCAGGGCGTACTCACCGAGGAGCTGCAGGACACCGAGGAAGAGGAACAAGAGCTTCATCTTGCAGCAGCACTCGCCTCCACAGCCCCTGCCCGGCTGGACCTTGGACCCTCCTCAGGGACACGTGATGGGCTCTGGCTGTGGGAAGAAGGGAGTAAACCAGTACGGGAGGCAGGATTCCCCCAGCATGAACCAGAGCCTCCCTCAGTCCCAGAAGGCGCTTTGCTCTCAGCTCCTTTCCCAAGCTCCCCACTTCCTTGGCATCCATGGGGAGCCTGGTAGAGCCACCAGGAAAGGAGGTGGGGAGGCCAGAGGAGGGGGTCCCCCCATCCCAGCTCACTGGACCTCACCATCCATGTCCTCTCCATCCATCTAAGTCCCCACTAAAGGGTGGTGGGGGCAAACATACCGCATGTACGTCCCACGTCCCTCTTCCCCTGCAGAACGCCGGCTACCTTGTAATTACTAGTAATGGTCTCAATGTATTTTCAATTAGCTCGCTTGGAAGAGAGCAGCTCCCGGCGACGACTTGTAATTGTACTTTGGCCACCAGCTGGTTTGCTCATTACCCGGCGCGCGCTGCGGCAGCACCGGCACAGCCCCACGCTGCTTTTGTTGGGGCTGCCGGGGGGCAAAGGGGGCAGCTGGGGGTGGTGGCACTGGTGCACGTGGCTGCAGGAGGAGGAGGAAGGAGTCCATCATCCTCATCCTCTGCCCCAGCACGGAGCAATGCTGCGTGCAGGTCCAGGCCCATGTCTTTACAAGGGTGTGTGAGGAGCAGGAAAGGACAGGAGGAGAGGAAGGAGAGCCTGGGAAGGGGACAGCATGGGATGGTGACAGAGGTCCACACCGTGGGGAGAGCTGGGGGGCTCAGCACTCCTCTGGCAGGGACCCTTTGGCTGATGCTGGCACAAGCAGGGCAAGGGCAGATTCGTGAATGCAGGGGTTTACAGGAGCCCAAGGGGACACCGGAGAACTGTTTGTAGAGGAGATCAGTCAGTGGAAGGGTCACAAACCACAAGAAGCTCTGACCTGACACCAGCAAGGATTCAGGAGCACAGGAAGGGTAACAGGCCACCCCCATCCAACCCTTCATGCTCCCACCACTTCCTAGCTTCCAACCAGGAAGACCAGGGAGTAGGCAGCGGGGACCCAGGGCCCATCCCTTTGGAAATCTGTCTCCCAAAACCTTAACCCACTTGGTGCCATTCCCACCTCTGCTGCAGGTGCAGGAGCGAGAAGAGCAGTGGGTGTCCTGCCCCCACTGTCCCAGGCGATGGACCGTGCCCAGAGAAGGAAGATGGAGGTGCCCCTGCCTGGAGCTCTGTCCCCACCAGTGTCACGAGCACAGCCCACAAACTGCCAAGAGAAAAAGCTCCTGAGCAGCAGCTCTCTGCCTGGGCATCAGCCAAAACGCAGTCAGCACTTTCTGCGCTGGGAGCTGGATGCCGAGAGATGTCCTCGAGGTGAAAGGCTCCCGCGCTCTCATTACCACTCACAAATCTCTCCCGGGGGACTCTCGGGGTGAATGCTGGCTGCAGCGAGATGTCATGTATTTTAATAGAGGGGGGGGAAGTGTAAATCATGGATACTCAGCAATAACAGCTTGGAGAAAGGACCGCAGTGTGCAGCGGGCAGGGTGCACCCTTGTCCATGGCCTCAGCATCCCGCAGGACGGTCAGAGTGGACAGGAGGGAAGAAACCTCTCACAGGACCCTGTGCAGCAAGAGATGCCATGGCCTCCGAAACCCTGTGTTTCAAGGGTGCTCCACACCCTTATTTTTACTTTTTGTGCCCTTCGGCTGCTCCTTTTGGGTGCTGCTCCTTTCAGCTGCTCCACAGCTCTGGTCCCACCAAAGCTGATACTTGTCTCAGAATCACAGAATCACAGAATCTTCTAGGTTGGAAGGGACCTTAAAGATCATCTTGTCCAACCGTCAACCTAACTTACGAAAATAGACACCCACACAACAAACAAGGAGCATCATCACTAAACCAGACCTCCCAGCACTACATCAACCCGTCTTTTGAACACCTCCAGGGATGGTGCCTCAACCCCCTCCCTGGGCAGCCCATTCCAATGTCTGATAACCCTTTCAGTGAAAAAATTTTTCCTAATTTTTCTCATTTTAAGTGAGGCAGGATTCATCTGACAAGCAGGCAGAGGTCTAAAATACCCAATCTGCCTTGTCTTCATCAAAGGGCCTGTGAAATCCTGCCCATGGAGGGAGAGTTCCCACTTCCCCTGTTAGGGTAGGACATGGAAGGGCAATTACAGGGCAATTACAGACACCCCAGCAAGACCTGTGTCACCAGGGACAGCCACTCAGCGGTGTGTTACTGCTGTGAGTGGTTGAGCACACCCCCGCTGCAGAGGAGAAAACCAGCACACAGCAAAGGTTTGGACCTTCCCAGCTCTTCCTACCACTTGGAATCACAGAATCATAGAATTGTCTAGGTTGGAAGGGACCTTGAAGATCACCTAGTCCAACTATCAACCTGACTGATAACAAAACCATCACTAAACCATGTCACTAAGCACTATGTCAACCCATCTTTTAAATACCTCCAGGGATGGTGCCTCAACCACTTCCCTGGGCAGCCCATTCCGATGCGTAATAACGCTTTTCATGTAAAAAATTTTCCTAATATCCAACATGAACCTCCTCTGGAGCAACTTGAGGCTGTTTCCTTTTGTCCTGTCACCTGTGACTTGGGAGAAGAGACCGACCCCCCCCTCTCTACACCCTCCTTTCAGGTAGTTGTAGAGAGCGAGAAGGTCTCCCCTCAGCCTCCTTTTCTCCAGGCTGAACAACCCCAGCTCCCTCAGCCTCTCCTCATAAGACTTGTGCTCCAGACCCCTCACCAGCTCCATTGCCCTTCTCTGGGCCCGCTCCAGCACCTCAATGTCTTTTTTGTGGTAAGGGGCACAAAACTGGACACTGCCCTCAAGGTGAGGCCTCACCAGTGCCAAGTACAGGGGGACAATCACCTCTCGAGTCCCACTCGAGTTCCTGATACAGGCCAGGATGCCCTTGGCCTTCTTGGCCACCTGGGCACACTGCTGGCTCACGTTCAGCCAACAGTTGACCAACCCCCCCAGGTCCTTTTAAACTTAAAACAGTTGTAGCCTGCAACACAAGGGACTCTTCCACTGCAATCCCCAAGCCCTGACACTTTGTGGCTGGAAAGGGAGCCCCGTGCTGGGCATGGTTGTGAGCACTAGAACCTGACGTGAGCGATGGCCCCCAACTCGCACACGCTGCCTGCAGCCCTCCCAGCAGCCAGGCTGCAACGGCACCGGGCCCAGAAAGTCATTCAGCACATGGAAAAATGATTATGAGAGAACTGCATTAGACCCCATGGCCCCAAAGAGAGGGGAGAAGGTAGAGACATGCCCAAAGGAGCTGGCCCCACACACCCCAGGGGTATACAAGGCTGGCAGGCCGGGCTGTACCCAGGCACATGGTATTTGCCTGTCTCCTTGGCACACTGCATCATTGCTTAAGGTTTGGACGTGAAGCTAATCCTAAATAACCAGGGAGAAGTGCCCTGCTGGGTGACAGCCCCTCTGGCTGTTGTATCTCACACCTGCCCTCAAAGCTGGGCAGCCCCCAGCAGTGATCCCAGGGAGCAGAGTAAGACCCCCACCCGGAATTTCCTTTTATTTAAGATAATGTTAAATTTTCAGGTGCAGCAGCATGATCTGTAAGGCCAGGACCAATCCCCGGCAGCAGAGGAGCCAGTCAGGAGTGAAAGCTGAATATTCATTTAACCCATGGGGATAAACCCTCTTTGGGACTCTGCACCAATTCAGCAAGAGGAACTCACCTGGTGCTTACAGGCCTCCAGCAGCCACACGGTCACCTTTCCCCAGGAGCAGCAGGGCAGGAGAAGTCACCCGAGGGGATCCACGTTTGATCTCAGAGCTATCTGGAAGCCACACTCCGACTTGCTTCTTGTCTCGTGGTGTGAAGCAGGAGAACAAGGGCTAGAGAGCTACACCCGTGTGGATGTCCTGAGCTCACATCCCCTGCCAGACTCTTTAACCTGCCCCCTTCACCTAGCCCCTGCACTCGGGTAAGATTTCTTTTTCTCCTCAGAGGACTGAGACCCACTTAACAGCTTCCACCGTCTACCTCCAGGACACCTGCTAAAGGGACAATGGCTGGGATCAGGCTCACATCTCCCCTGTGTTCCCGCTGGCTGACAGAGCAGGGTATGCTGACACAGATGCCATTTCTACCAGCCAGGGCTGATCCAAATAATCTCCTCTGCGGGAGCTTCTGTGTTGGCACAAAGCAGCCATCGAGTGTCCACAGCGATGTCTGCAAACAGCTCCTGCCTCTAATTAGCACAGCAAAGCTGTCAAAACACACATTTCCACCAACTGCAACCAGTACCCTGAGCTGTGGCCAAGCAGCTCTTAACCCAATTTGCAGCCCGTGGGATGGAAGTCAGGCCCCACGGTCTCTTCTGTGTTTGCCAGCCCGGCCAGTGGGAGCTCAGCTCCCAGCATGGGTCATTCCCTGTTTTTGGGAGCCTATGGAACACATGAGAGTGTGCATTGGGGTCCAACATTCACCACTACTGGAGGTCACCCCACAGGAGCAAAGAGCTGGGTGGGCTCACCCTCCCAGGTACCACATTCACCAAGGGGGACACTTAGGTTATCACCTCTTTTGGCCAAACAACAGATGCGCTACTCAATGGTGACAGCCTCCAGGGCTCAACCCAGGCGTGCAGGAAGGAACCACACAACTGACTCATGGAAAACAGGCTTTGAGGAAGGATGGTGGAAATCACCTCTTTTGCCACTTGTTTTGACCACCGGATATTTCCCTCTTCCTCAAACAATTCCAGGGCCTGGTCACACCAAAGTAGGCCAGCCTGGAGAGCACGAACAAGAAATCAGAAGTTTTAAAAATCATAGAATCATAGAATGGTTTAGGTTGGAAGGGTCCTTAAAAATCATCAGGCAGGGACACCTCCCACCAGACCAGGTTGCTCAAAGCCCCATCCAGCCTGGCCTTGAACACTTCCAGGGATGGGGCAGCCACAGCTTCTCTGGGAAACCTGTTCCAGTGTCTCACTACCCCCCCAGTGAAAAAATTATTCCTGATATCTGATCTAAATCTCCCCTCTTTCAGTTTAAAACTATTACCCTTCATTGTATCACTCCACTCCCTGATAAAGAGTCCCCTTTCATCTCTCCTGTTGGCCCCTTTGGGTACTGGAAGGGACTATAAGGTCACCCCGGAACCTTCTCTTTTCCAGGTGAAACAACCCCAACTCTCAGCCTGTCCTCACAGGAGAGGTGCTTCAGCTCTCTGATCATCTTTGTGGCCCTCCTCTGGACCCACTCCAACAGGTCCATGTCCTTCTTAATTATTTTTACTGATTATTATTGAAATGCTTCTCCTTACCAGAGAGCAAGCAAACCCAAGGCTTGAAACACTGGAAGACTTCCAAAAAATGTTGACAAATCCCCCTGCAATTCTTGCACGAGATGGCCCCAGCAGCAGGTCTGGGCTTGGGCGACGTGTGTGTCTGCACAGCACCCTCTGTAGACCAGAGGAGGAGCAGGGAGGTGAGGACCGAGTTGGTGTTCACCTTCACTCTTCAAGCTATTTGTTTCTTCTCCACCCCTCCTGCTGCACTGCAATGACACAAGTGCCACCTCTGAGCAGCACCAAGCAAAAAAATTTGGGAGGAGGAGGAGCTCTGGGGGACAGCAACAGCTGCTCTTCCTAAAGAGGGCTCTGCTTGAAGGTGACCCACTTTGTTAAGAACACAAAGAGAAGTTCACCATCTTTTCATGCTCCACAGCAAGGAGATATGAAGAGCTTTAGGCCGTGGGAGGGGAAAGCCTGATGAGCGGGGCAGGGGATGCCAGAGCACCCCGAGAGTCACGTACCAGTGACTGCTCCCGGCAGCAGAAGAGAACACCCACCTCAGCACCTCTGAGCACAGGCTCCCACATTGCTAAACCCAGCGGGGAAGTGGGAATTGCAGTGAGAAAGAAGTGGGAGGGAAGAAGAAAGAGAGGGATGGACAGATCAGGTCAGTGGAAGTGACGGGCCTCACCACTGGGGTTCTTCATCACTAGGCTGGACCTGAAATGTGGTGGAAATATTACTTCACTCATTTCAAAACGGCGTGCTGCTTTTACAGATGGCACCGTGCTCCACGATTTCAAACACACCTGAAACACACTTCTGAGTTGAGAAGAGTCACTCATGTCACTGGCAAAGAAAAAAGAAATAATTAAAAAAAAAAAATCTACATTCTGAGACATTCAAGCCGGACTCTGCCTCTCCTTCCCCACACCTCTTTGGGCAAGCGATGTATCGCAAATGCACAAAAAGCCAGTTCAATAATTTCTGCTCTATGTGCACGAGGTCTCTTGGCGCTGACATTTGGATGCACACCATCGCCTGGCTTATTCCAGCAGAATTATCGCATGGAAAATGGGATTCTGATAAAAGTTATGGCAAGTTTCCTGTGAAGAGGAAGGGAAATGCCAGAATAAAGGTCTCCATCAGGTGCGTAAGCATCAAACACTGAAACAGAACAGCCCACGTCCAGTGGGTTCCCAGGGGAGAAAGGATGCACCTTGGCCATCTGCAAGTCAACAGCAGTCATTCAAATTCAACACACCAGGTTTTTTTAAAAAATATGATTTCCTACTTAGATTTATTTTTTTCCTTTAATAACACAGTTTAGCATTTCAGAGTTTGGCATTCTACACTCTTACACACTGTCCTTGTTTATTAGCATTTAAACACAAAAAGACATAGCAAGACCTCCAAACACAAATAAATACAAAAACACAATATACAATAAACTGAAATACAACATATAATAATGCTATTGGGAAATTAAGACATGTTGCTAATTCCTTTTTTTTTTAATTATTATTATTATTTTAACAACATGGTTATTGCTGAGCAATAAATTATACATTTTAAAGTTGTTTTTCCCCCTAAAAGAAAAGGACGAGAACCACTGGTTACCAGATCACTTGCACTGTATCCTTACAGCTACTGATAATTAAGACAGGCAGAATATACACAATCAAATGAGGTTGGCCTTCTTTGGTCTTTGTTTTTGATCATAAAACTGAACACAAGTGTACCGTTCACTGAAGAGTATGAGATTAAAGAAATGGATACACAAGTTTCAAACACGTTATTTTGTACATTATTCTCAATCACTGATGTCTTTTCCATAGATATTTCTTACAGAATTTCTTGGAAACAAATGTCAGCTTTAGTTTTCCCGATTATTACGTTGTTCCATGCGTTTTAAAAGGTTATCCTACTTGTCTAAGAGAAATGGACCTACGTTCAGCCCATCATCTCCTAATGGGGTATTTTTCACAGCTGTCTAGTCACCACTAAATCATTGGAGTTTTATACCTTGTAGAAAAAATCCTGAACTTCCCCTGTTGTTTTCTTTTTTTCTATAAAACTGAAAAAAAAATAATATATATTTCAACCGAACAACAGCTATAAGAAAAACAAAATAGGTGGATCACATGATGCATCAGCAACAATGGAAGCTTGTACCTTCCCATTCCACAAGTACAGATTATACAACTCTCTGCCAGTGACGCAGGTCATAGTTGGAAGATGTGTCCTTTCAGAGGTGAGCTATATTCAAATCCAAAGCTCAGAACACTATGCAAGAAAATGACCCTTACGAATGATAATGCTGGTTTATCTCAGTAACCCTTAGACAGAGTCAAATTTTATCACTACGCATCACACTGCCAGCAATGGAGCGTGTGAACACCGGCATCGCTAAGAAGTTAAAAAGTCCTTGCAGAACTGGCAACCAAATTAAAAGCTTAGTTCCAAAGGACCAAAAACACAAACACCACGGAGACAACAAACCCTTCCCGAAAGGGGTAGGTCAGTAAGCCACAGAGTTGGGATCCAGATTTGAATTCCACATCAAGTCTGGGATGTTTGGATCCAGGATTTTGGTTCAGGTGCTTCTCTGTGAAATTTAGAACTTATTTGAACCCTAAGGAACTAATCCTAACTTGGAGGGAAAAGAACTAAACGAACACAGCCTAGTATCTACACTAAGATCATGAAATGGAAGACAGAAGCTGCAGTCTTGACCACAAATTAGAAGAGAAATAGGAATAGTCAGATCCCTTATGTGTTGTATATCTCTACTCTTCTAAATCTTAAGAGGATGTCCCTGAATCAGCATTCCAAAGTTTTCCACAACCTTCCTATCTGGTGCTTCTCAGCAAAAGGCCTGGATTAAGAGGCAGGAAAGAACAATTAAGCCCTCCATATTTTGGTTTAAAGAAAAGGGGAGAAAGCCCCACAAGAAAGAAACGGTCAGTCACAAAACAGGCTGGTGGAACAAAGATCAACCCAACTTCACTCGAAAACGGCACGCTCCCTCCTCCTCCGTTAAGACGAGCATCAAATGAGACTGACTGATGTTGGGCGAGACTGAACAAACGGAGCAGGACGCACATTTGCTGATGTTATTCACCCCGACGCACCGCGCTGGGCCATCTGCTCTGCAGGTCCTGCAAAGCACCACCCCCTGGGCTACCGTACGCGTACAACCCCAAATCACGACAGCTTGTGTGTTTGATTCTAGCCCTTACTGTCCTGACATGGGTCTTTTAAGGTACGTCAACTTGTTTTTCAGTTCCTTTAAAAGGACAAACGTATTAAAAAGAGTAAAACCTAGTGATTTCAAGATAACACTAGAGAAATGGAACCTCTCATTCAATCCTGGCTCCGGGAGATTCCTTTTGTGACTCTGGGCAAGTCGCTTCACATCTCATCCTTGATTTCCTTTTTTCAGAAAAGACAAATAGCACTTGCTATAAGAAGACCGTGTTTGTGGATGCAAAGTGCTTACTAAGCTGTATATAGCACTAAAAACTGCCCTCGGACAGACTGAATTCCAGAACCAATCGCTTTTATTGCAGTAGCTACAATTTCTAGGTCAACCAGAATATAGAGGTATCGACTGAACAGGATAGGAATTCCAGAAAGAGGCCCAGCTACTTTTTATAATATTTCATTCCCAAATTAAGGAAAGAATTTACAATTAGCAAGTTGCCCATCACTATGTTTGTTTAAAATACAGCAACCTCCAAATTAGCGGAGTATGAGGAAGGACGTGGGGCCTAGATGACATTCCAAGGTCTTCAGAAAGGCTAAACAAACTGTTTGTTTGCTATATACAGGTCTTCAAACCTGGAAGATGTGAATCCAAAGTTTGCCCTTAGCCAAGATCCTCCCTTAGCAGCAGCAAGTTATATTTGCACCACTTGATCAAGTATAATTTGGAGGAAAGGGTTTTGTTTCATCACTTCTACGTAAAGAAAAGACTTTGCATATATATGTGCATGCATGTCTGTGTGTATATGTATGTACCTACACACGTACGAGTAATTCACAGAGCAAAAACTAAGAGATTAGGTACGCAACCCAAGAATTTTTCCCCCTCACCTATTTGTATATTTGCATAGTTAAATCACATCAAGGCATCGATACTGCAGTCACATTTTTCACTCTTCTGCAGTGCAGGCAACTTTTCTTGTCACTCCCTATACACTTCTCTGCCTTGGACCGAACAGCACCAGTGTTTTAAAAAGGAAACAGAACAACAACAGAAACCCTGTATTGTTGGTGAAATGCCTATCCCACGCGATGGAATACAGATACAAATAGGTGGCAGCTTTTAAACTCACATCTCAACAAGCCATAATCGCGGCAAGCCGAGAAACACGAGCGATACAATCACAACCTAACACTCATGGGTTCAACACTTAAATTACAACTATCACAAATCTCTATTATCTGCGCATTTGAGAAATTCACCAGGCACAGAAACAGGCACGTATCTTCAAACTTTCCTTTCCCAAGCAGGAAAACCCATGGGAAAAGGAAACAAACCACATTTCATATTTGTAAGAAAGCTAGCATGTTACCCCACAACGTTAATTTTTTTCCCCATCAAAATTATGCCACCCATCATCCCCTTTTCCTATTGCACATTCTCTTTGTGAAGAACAACATTTACAGTACAAGGCTGAAATCAACATTGCATATTGTAAGTCAGCAGTTGAAGGTGTACCATGTAGACAGTAACTGAAACAAGACCCCTTTAATTAGATCAGAGAAGTAATGCAGACATGGTCATGCATCATAATTGCAGGTTGGTCTTTCAAACACCCAAATAGTTTCATCCTGCTTAGAATTCAAGACTTTCTAGGTAACAGATGCACACACCCTGTGATGAAGAGTGTACAAAAAGGGCAACATCCAGGTTGTCACACACTGGAATCTCCCTAGAGAAAGCTGGAAGAGGCTTGTACGTAACTCGGCGCATCATTGTTAAGAAAACACCAGCAAGAGGCTTCACTTGTGCGCTGCTAGGAATTACTAAGCAGAAGAAAAAAAGGTTCCACTGAAGAAACTCTGTCCAAAGTAAATGCAAATACTCTGGGACCCCCTTGCAATAATGGCGCACCACAGGAGTTAGCCAGGATTCCAAGAGGACGTGTTGGGGCAGACTGCTGCCCCATAAATAATTTTAAACAGACAGTCCCTAGAAAACTTTGGATGTCTGGGTCAGGAACATACAGAAAAAAGGATAAAGGGCATTTCAACAATGAGAGAAAAAGTTAATCAATTTAAAGTGTTGAGTAAAGCACCAGGTATCTTTTCCTTTCAATTTAGAGAATATACAGTGGCCTTGTTTTCACAAAATGCTACATACTCCTTGCTGGAAAGCAGAGGAAACCGATTTCTATGTACACAGTAAGAACTCTACAGAGATGGCCCGCGAGTTCTGCGGAGAAAGGGGTGTTACAGTCAAGGCTTCAGGTATTCCACAGCAGGCGGTGTCTACGTTTGTGTAGCGAGATCCTGGATTTCACAGTACGCAGGGTTGGCAAACTGGAAATTCTCTGGCAGCTTCATGTAGTTTTAAAAAATAAGTGCAGTAGGCCTCCATTTTATTAACCGTGATAAAAAGCATATATGCAAAAATATTTTTATATCGATAGCACATTACTGCATTATAAAAGCTGCCCAAGTGAAGCTGAAGATTTCTGGCAGCTGGTGCTTTTGGCACTTGGGAGATGTGGAAAGCAGCATAGAGATCTGTGAAATACAACAGTGACTGATGTTTCTGCTACAGTGATCGGCATTAATATAGTTAGCAGTGTTCATATTTAAACTTCTCTATGAAGTTTCTGAGTCAATATCCCACTAAGAGGAGATATTCAGATCTCTTAAAGCTACTAGATTAGGCTGCGTGCAGACTCAGGAAGACTTCCCTATTAGTTTACACTTTTCGCATGTTTTCAAAGTCCTCTTTCAATCACAAAGGCTGGAAACTCTTTTTTCCTCCTCTTTTAAAGAGCCTGGATTTAGAAACGCAATTCTGTCACAGGAGTTGGAAACTGTAGTCACAAATCTGCAGAATATGCTGGGCCCTGCTTATACTAGAAATCTCCTCCAAGTCCCAGATTGAAACAGGATATTAACTGTTTTGAGATGGCCAAACGGTTTCATTTAAGTTTACAAGACATGCATTAGCAATGGGAGGAGAGTCCTTTGGACATTTCCACTTGGGAATCCTGTTTTCAGTAAAATTCTGTGATGCACAAACACAAAAGCTCAGCTGCCTACATTCACAATTATTAAAATGACACAAGTCGAGCGAACCTTCGCCCTGAAGCGTTAAGTGATGGGTTTGCTTATGCAGCCTGCATAAAACTGCAAGTGCCATACAGTTATATCTAGAGATATAGGTGTGGGTATATCTATAGATATTTATCTCTTGTGCAGAACGTCCTCCTTCCGTGCTGGAAATCCAATGCCAGCACGTGCCTCCATGTTTGAGCTTGCACCTGTTGACAGCGATGTACCATAGAGGGAGTACAGTACCTGGACAATGGAAGGCAAGTAAAGGAAGACAAGTTGCTGCCGACGGTTGCGAGGGTCAGCAGCAGCAGGCAGTATTCTAGCAGGTGCCTGGGAAACCCATGAAGACCACTTAGCATGCATTGTTATATCCATAAATACTTCTTGCAGGCACTGTGTGTGAAGGCACAGCCAAAAAAGACAACGGCAAAAGACAAGCTGAAATACAAAGGCATGAATTCAACTGCACCTTAGATGAAAACTGTGACTATGCCTCAAGAAAGCAGAAAAGTGATACAACCTGACGTTAATAGGCCGAGATGCAAGGTCTTCTTTCAAGCCCACGAAGGCTGAAAACACAGTGGTGCGAGTCTGCTCTGCTTAAGCGGTTCTCGGATTTTAAAGAGCACCACAGTCAGGCTATGTCTCTAGACTTGCTTGTCACAGGCTATTAAATAGAAGCAGATGAAGACAGCAGGTTGCAATCAGCATGTTTCAGGGCAAGCAAATGCTTTCCACTACAGTTCAGGCTGTCACAAGAAAGAAGCCCGTGCATTCCCTGTTAGGATGCTTGTCCGCCATGAAAAGCTGCCATGAGCGTACACATTCCCAGCCCCACAGAAGTCTCAGATGGGTCCGTTTCAAGTGATGCCACCTTACAACCACAGGCATTAGAGGACAAATGTCACCTGCCTTCGCAGTGGCCATGGAGACTGTCCAGTCCAAGCTCCATAGGAGCTCTGAGCATAACGTTTTGGCACCTGAAAAAGATGGATCCCACCATGGCCAAGTCATAGAAGCTCTGGAAGCCAAAGAAGGGGGCCTTGGCTTCTATTCTGTACATGGCAAGGTACCTAAGGGCTCTGAAGACAAGGCTAAACATTATGCCTGAAGTCCAATTAAACTACCGTTTCAGATATCAGAATTAATCTGAATAAAAAGCTATGGTTTATAAGCAGCACAGCACATCTAAGGCACATGTATGCATGCAAGCCACCATCACTGCATTAAGACATTGCTGATTTGTCCTTAAGAAGCAATGGCTGCTAGTACAGAACAAACATATAGGCTTTTTTCAGCACTAATCCTCCTCCCCAATACTGAAAATACTATATACTGCTGACAGCATAATGTGCAACATATATAGCTTGATTGGAAAGCATGGGGCAGAACTTTAAAAAATGTACAGGATTCCGTTTAGAACTCCAAAGTTCAACAAATGCCCTATTTTAGGGTGAAAACAATTATAAATCTGATAATGATGCACAGCATCCATGAGTGATTTTTCCTTAATTTTGAAATAGTGTCATTAACTACGACATATATTGTAGGTTTACATTTCTAAAGAGAAATAACAGAATTGAATAGTTTTTTTTCCTATCACAAGTGATAACCAGTGTTTGATATCTTCTATTTTTCTTCCAAGAAATATCAGTCTATCAACAGTTTTAAAATAAAATGTTTTCTGTAACAATAGAACTTTAAATAAAAATATGATTTTGATTCAGATACTTTTGAGAAGACATGGATGCTTTTCCAAGATCTTCTGACAAAGTAATTATTAAAACAGAGACCAGATGAGGCCTTAAAAAGACAATATACTATATTTCAGACAAGATTGCACCTCAGTTTTTCAAATAATATCATAATTGCAACATGACTTCATCATTTCTTCTTTTAACATGCTGACAATTTCCAGCTAGCCCACGTGTGAAGTTTTTTTTTTTGTATTCTAGCTTAAAGAAAGAAAAGTCAGTAATTTATTCAGCACATACTGTATATGTCTTTTTACCTCCAATTGACTAGATCATTAATAAGTTAAAAAAAAAATCCTCTCTGACCATAATCATTATCCTCATGAGGGATAAGTGATTCTTCAGAGCTTAAGTGTTGCTAGTTCTATTAAAAAATATACCATGGTATGATTTCTTAATGTGTTGCTACTTTCGCAATTGGACCCTATGCAGTTATGCCTTCAAACTCTTCCGTCTGTTCCACAAGGTGGTTCTGTGAGCTTTAGGACCTCTGACTGAAGACAAACTGATATAAAACCCCCAAACGGAGTTGTCTTCTGTTTAATCCGCCTCCCCCATTGTATGTCAGGGGTCTGGTAGATCCGATGTATCCACTATGACTTTAATAAAAATAGTATCATCTTTAATATACGTTCCATTCTCTAGAACAGTTTGAGCCACAAAGACCGGGCAGCCGGACGCAATGTTCATTTCTCCAGTTGGCTTCTTGAAACTGCTGCTGTTTGGATCTGGCTTGAAAGCATCTCCTAAGTGGCGCCGAGACGGTCCCTGATCCATTAACATGAGAGTCACTTTCTGTTTAAAGGGCCAAGGAAGCAACGCATCGTATTCTCCACGCATTATGACAAAAAACAGCGACAAGTGCGTCCCCTTTCCCATGCCATCTCCATTGAGGTAAACTCTGGCACACATCTTGTAGCCAAAGTATCCAGTATAAAAGGGTTGGCTGTACAAGGACAGAGTCTTCCCCATGACTGCCTCTTGCTTCCGACGTTTATAATCTCGAATTTTCCAAATTAATACTCCGTTGTAACTGGCAGTTTCTAAAACCTGGAATCGGAGGTCCATGTCAGCCAGCCGAATATCGTGAACACTAAGCATCTGATCGTGTCTGCTCAGCTGTGTCTCTAGCAGGCCTGTTAGAATACGGAAAGGATGAGGGTGAAAAAAGTCTGTTTTTCTAAAGACTGTAAAAATCAATTGCCAACGCTGCTACTGTATAATGAAAACATTTTCCTCCCCAAGAACCAAAGGGCATTTGGTCACCGATGAAGCAATTTCCACAGACAACAGCCAGCTCGTATCTAAATTAACTGGGATTTTTACAAACATGGGTATTAATCACACATGCACTAAAAGTCAAATATTCAAATAATCTAACATAAATTTTGTCTGGTCACTAAGCAATGTAACTACAGAGGCTTCCGTGTTTTGAGAGGAGACTTGGTAGCATTACCTGTAGAGCGCTATTAGCAGTGAAGACCTTGGAAGTGGTCAGACAATCCCTCTGAAATTCAGAAGCACCGCTCATCACTCAAAATACTCTTCTCAGACACTACTTGTCTCAGAAGTGTAGTGCTGTTACCTTGTCTCAGGTTCATCATAAAAGAACACAAAATTCAAGCTTAGCTCTGCATTATATGATCACTTATTTAGTTTGGAAGCAGGGCTGGTTTTAATGTCCCCTTTCCCTCACGTGAAAACATTACTCTGTCATTGCACACTGGCAAAATTGGCCAACATACAATACTGAGAAGCAGATGAATTTGTAGGAGAGGTTTGTTTCATACAGATCTATTTAACCATTAAGTTTTTGTCCCAATCATTTAAACACTTACATATGATCTACACTATCTTGCTAAACCCCAGTTTTCACTTTATTCAGCAAGCACAACAATAATCTATTCTTAAGGGGATCTCACGGTTTTCTTTGGATCAAGTATACCTCTGCAACAGATATCAGGACAGGTGGTGTTAGGGGGAAAAGCACCCTGTTGATCCATTCATGGGGGAGAAAAGTAATAAAAGAAAATTTGTCAATGCACGGAATTTAATGAGACTGTATTTAAAGAAACTGCTGAACGCTATTAACCATCAAAGATCAGTTGAGAAAGTATTTATAGTGACCTAACATTGTAATTAAGACATGGGTCAAGAAAATAAAATAAGAGACAAGAATCAAGCCTAAGAAACATCGTGGAAGCAATGCCACATCATCAACAAAGGGATTACGCACTTCCTATTCAAAAATCAGGAGAATCAGCATTATTGATGCTTCCACATAAAAATGACAATGGGAGTGCCATTCAAAGGACATAATTTTTTTTCTTGACAGCGCTGCCGAGTACTTCGTTCCATTGTGCTTACACTTACTTGTATTTCGAGCTCCTTGCCCCGCGGTTTTATCAACACTTTCCAGCTCAGTCACTCTGTTCTGGAGGGATTCCACACTGCTCTTCATGCTGTCAGCCTCCTCCCAGTTCTGGCGGAAGGGACGGATTTCTTTGTCCAGTTCTTTCAGCTTCTCCGCTTGGCTGTCTATCACTCGCTTCATAAAACAGTAAGTCACCAGTTAAAATAGGAAGATGACATTAATTTGTGCAAATTAAACAAGGCTTATATATCAATAATAAGATGCTTTTCCAATATAAACAAGTTTCACTGGATAATAAGATGCTTTTCCAATATAAACAAGCTTCGCTTATGTCAAATATTTTAATAACACGAACCTTGACAATTTAGATGAATAGCCCAAGTATTTATAAAACACTTACAAAAATTCTTTAGCGTGGCATAGGTACTAAATACTAGAGCACTATCAGAATTATCAACACTATTTTTTTTAAAAAGGGAATTGTTAGTGTGCTCTGGTCTATAATTTAAAAAAAACATAACACTTTCAATGCAAGAACAATCATCTGAATGTCTCTATATTGATATTATGGGCTGGTATTTGTTGGGTTTTGTGTCAAGAGTACTTAAGTAATAAAGTTTGGGCACAAGAAACAAGCGTTTGTGCATGCGTTTGTCACTGAGTAAAAAAAACATAACACTTTCAATGCAAGAACAATCATCTGAATGTCTCTATATTGATATTATGGGCTGGTATTTGTTGGGTTTTGTGTCAAGAGTACTTAAGAAAATAAAGTATGGGCACAAGAACTTACCCTGGCGGAACCAAGCGTTTGTGCATGCGTTTGTCACTGGGTAACAGCAAAATAACTTGCCCCTCCAGAAAACATCAGTGCTCTTGCACACATGGAGCAGGAGTACGTACATGTGCAGATACAACAGCACTAGCAAGCTCCAAGCTCATATAAATGAGTTATCAACACCTAATTTATTATGTGCCCATAACCATAGCAGAAGCCCTCAAGAATGTAAACAAAACTACTACTTCTAACCCCATAAGCACTTTCAAAATTCCCACCCTTACTTCCTAAATTGAATAACCCCTCCTGAAGGTGCTTGCTGGCTGAGTCTTTTTAAGAAAATAAAGAAAAAAAACCAAGCCAGCTGATTTTAGAAAGGCATGAAATATAATACTCAAGAAAAAAAAATACATAGGAAGGCTGGTATTCTCCAAACACGGGACATTGCAAGCACCTCAGTGTGTTACAAATATAATGGAGGACATATTTCCCAGTCTACCTCAAATCTGATGCAAGAAATACATAGCAATTTACGTTATCACAGCTAATTTGGACTAGCAGGAATTTTAGCCAGAACCCCATAATCAGTTGTGAAGTTCAAATGATAACACGAATATTTGAGACAAGAAACTACTTTTGCTACCACCTACAGTTAATTCCAAATCTAACTTTATAGTTTATTATCATATAGTGCCAACATATGTAAAAATAATTTTTCACTTCTTAAAAAAAGTAGCAGTTGAGTACAAAACAAGCAAATAAAGTTATTTTGCATTTGCCTTCTGGTTAGCCATGTGGATTCAATGTTCCCCACTAATGGGGAAAACCCTTCGCCTCATGCAACCTTCATTTCCCCTTTTAGGCATTTGCTTTTAATCATGTGGTTTCAGTTATACTGAAAGTCTGTAACGATTAATTGAAGGCTGTCAATTTGATAAGTCAGTTAGCAAAATCACATTCTAGGAGTGTTTTATTTTGTTGTTTCTCAAAACCACTGAGTAATCTAACATATTTCAAGATTAACTATTTATTTCTATATTGGAATTTTAAAACACACTTGCATATCTCACTTGCAAAATTACAACTTTGTGAAGGAAAGCTGTGTACTGAATCATAAACACAGGGGCATCATCTCGCCAACTAGATTAAGCAACTTGCCTGGACATACTAATCAACTAGCAAACTAACTAATAGTAACCATACTAACCAACCCAGTCACACCCTCTCATTGACAATAATCAGAAAATAAAATAGGGAAGGGCTGTTCACTATACATATAGAAAAGGAAACATACCATGGAATGGCCTGAATGAATGTTGTAAGATCAGAGCCACAGGATTTGGCCATTAGTTCACCGTTAACATGCAAAAGTAAACTGGAGGTGTGCCCAAGTCTGATCCTTTTTCCTCTGCTCCCAGAGAACATGAACTCTCCAAGGCAAGAACAGTAGCAGAGTTGTGCATTTGAACAGTCCCTCACACAGAGATGCTCTGATTTCCAATTGGGACCTCTTGGCACTTACACAGTATCAAACAAAATGAATAAATGCATTTTAAAATGAATTGGGAAAGTGGTAAATACGCAGAAGAATTCTAAGTTCTTCTTTTGGGAGAAGTTTACTAAGAGTTGTTATGGGGGACCAACTTCTCTCCATCAGCCTGTGTCCAACATCCTACCTTTGTACGCGCACAACCAATCCTGTGTTTTAGTTGCTTCTACTACACACTGGCAAATGTGTAGTATTTTATCTCCTGTACCTCTTTATGAGAATTCAAGAGATACAGAATAATCAGAAAGACTTGTATTCTGTTTTTAAAAAGCATTGGGATCTCTATATTTTTACCCTACAGGGAGTCAACCTCCCTCACTGCTGGGAGATGCCGATGTACTAAATCTGAATTTAATACAGCACTGGAGAATTTCACCGTCTCTAATTATTCCATTAGAAAGCACACAGATGCCTCACACTGTACTCATAAATTTTCAAGTACATATCAATTTTCTGCATGCACTTTTCATTCCAGCAACTGACCTCTCCAGATCATTAATCCAGAGTTATACGTCTGGCAAATCATTGCGGGCTCTCCTTGATGCTGATTTTCATCTAGGTTTTGTTTGGCATTTCTAATAAACAACTTCCAGAATTTTAGCACTATTATTACTAAAATAATTTAGAAAATGTCATGACGAACTGAAGAAAGTTATAATCATAGTTCTCTCTCTCAGATGCTCCTAATGGTCCTTTCCTAATAGTCCATTCCATTGCAACTGATAGAGCAAAACTGAAAAGCTAAAGAATGCACTAGAAAAGAAACCAAAGGTACTACTTGACTGGGAAAACAAAAAAAAAAACATCCTCCTCCTTTGAAAGAGTGTATTACCAATCAAATAATATTCATAAAGTCATTGTCTCTTTTGTCTTTAAGCACCTCATGTCCACACTCAGCTTAAGAATTGGATTACTAATATGCTTCCATAGACTCTTAAGAGGTACTGGATGTGAAAGGCCCTTTCCACAAGACAGCAGTCAAAAAAGTATCACATACTCTCTTGGTAAAAACACTTCCCCTAGAGACCAGAATATAGAAAATTCATCTCAAACGTCTCAAGGTTGGGGTTCCTGCCAGTGCCCAGACACCTTTGATGCATTTGCACGAGTTGTATTAAATGCTTGGTGACCATATCTGAATTGGTGAGTTCTGCACTGGAAACGTCTGTGGCTCTTGTATCACCACGGCTGCCCAACGCAACCCAGAAAAAGAAGGGTTCACAACAGGTAACTAATTCCTTCAACTCCCAGTAGGCAACAGAAAGAGGCTAATCATATTGTCCAGGGAAAACCAAACTGAGGTGTGTTTCCAGGATGCCCTTAACAACCTGACCGAACCATGAAGTTCCAGTAAGTGGAAGGAATCAGGTTGAAATAGCTGTAAAACACAGTTTGGCTTAAAATAACTAAACCAAAATAGCTGGTGAGAAGTAGTGAGGAGAAAGAAAGAAAAAAGCAAGCAAAAAAAAAAGCAAGAAAAAAAAAAGCAAGAAAAAAAGAGCAAGAAAAAAAAAAAAGAAAGAAAAAAAAAAAAAAAAAAAAAAAAAAAAGAAAAAAAAAAAAAGAAAGAAAAAAAAAAAGAAAGAGAAGAAAAAAAAAGAAAAAAAAAAAAAAAGAAAAACACATCCTCTCCAGTACTTATTATCACCAAAAAGCCACCTGTTACAATCTGCTCACCACATTGTTTGGTGGGTTTTTTTCTAAACGTAAACCATTTAAAATTTGATTTTGCTAACACTTACAGCTTGAGGAAATCACAGATATTGCAACCTGTCATCTAGACAATCATGAAAAACTCTGTTCTATGTTTTTTTCCATTTCCCCTCTCATCACTGGTTATTGAGACAGCACGTGTAAAAACCCCAGGCTTACAAATTAACTTACCTCCTGGTAGACTCAATCAGCAATATCAATACGTACAAGGATTAGCTTCCCAGTGTCAGAATGCAATATTGTAAGCGTACAGCCATATCCCAAACTATCATCAGACCAAGCCACAGTGACTAAGGCAGGCTAAACTCATTACAACATGGGCTGAACGTGGGAAGAAGTGCGTGCTATGAGGAGAAACGTTGCTGTTGCCGAACTTAAAGGCTCCCTTATAAATCAACATGAGGGACTCAAGGCTCTGAGCTCTTGGATACGTGACTTTGAATTTTAGCCATACTCAAGTTTGGATGCTTGTATCTTTCTTGAGTATCAACATTTGCAGTTTAATACGTGAAGTGAATAGTAAGTGACAAAGATAACTTTATTTACATTCCTTTAAGCCAGATGCTAAAGCAGGTATCTGATATTCTAGCAGCAGACATACTAAAATAATATGTAAACGATACCTTCAAAATAGCTTGCTAAATATCTCCTGAGGTTTCCCTAATTGCTGTTAGTATCACACAAGCTAACACAAATTCCCAGCATCCACATTCCAAGTCCGCTCTGAATGCAAAGGAAAGAATTCCAGCTTGGGCTAAGCATGGTGCTAGTGCATCCAGAGGATTTCTAGTTCCACGCTGGCTTGTGGCCAGGTGATTCAGACCACAGAATAAGCAACTCAGACTTACGGGCAAACCAATAATTAGATACATATTCCTCAGGAGGAAGACAACAGAAACATGGATTTTAAAAAGCGTATTCAAATGCATTGTACTAAGTTTGGATTAATTCCACACCAGACTGATGTCACTCATGATTAATATTTTTTAAAATACCAGCAAGTAGAAAAGAAATATACATTATACATATGACAGCTTTACGGTGCTAATCATGTCCTCCAGTTTGACAGTAATTCCTCAAGCAGTTATTTTTCACAGAGAAGAAAAAATGAATATTCTTAAGATTCGTCATTTTGTTTTCAGTCTTTTTTAACAGGGGGTTTGTTTTAACATGGGCTAGGCAACTGCAGTGTTTTAGTGAAAATATCTTACTCCAACAAACACAACAAGCCAGCTACTGACCAGAAGAATAAAAAGTAAAAAATAAAAAATCAGAATGAGGTTTATAATAAGGTAAACTCTCTCTCCCGCCCCTTTTAATTAGAACACCTCACTTCACAACTGTAAAGGCACAGAACAGAAGCTACTACCATTTCTGCTTTAATGGGGAGATTCTAAATTTCTTACCTGTAAGTGAAGTATTTTAGATTCATTATTCCGCAGCATTTCCTTCTGTCTTTCAATTTCTATTTCAAAGCTACAAATCTGATTATGTAAAGTTTGAATACTCTTGTTCTTTTCCAAACTTTCATTCTGGAGCAAGGCCACCTGGAAAAAATTCTACAATTACTCCTGCCAAAGTTTATTAAAAAAAAAAACAAAACAAAACAAAAAACCTGTAACTTTGTTAGTTTTAAACTATCTTACACACGTGAAAGGGATGAGATCCTAGTAAAATCTCTCTCCGTGTCTTGCAAGTAAGTAAAGAAACCCCAAGCTTCTGATTGCTACTTTTGCACTTCCACAGTGTGGTAATGGTACAACTTTGGCTAATGAAAGTGCAGATACACAGACAGCCAAAGAAACTTCAGTTTAAGCATAATCTTTTCTTTATTCCATTTATTTAATAGCTTTGTTTGCTTATCTCCACTAACTGACTCGGGAGTTGCTTGGAGTTTGGAAGAAACAACCTACTTCAGTATAGGCCAGCATTAAGGACTCGAGCCCTGCACGGAAGGGATACCAGAGAAAAGTTAGTTGGGAAAGGGAAACATTAATCTTCCCCACCTACTCCAATCTAACCCCATCTATAGCAAATTTAAGGAAAAACATCATCTGCATGGCTTGGCTTCACAGAATGTGATGGTGATGAAAACTCCTGAAATGAGTGAATACAGAAGGGATCCATGCATTTGAAGGAAAATCCAATGGTGCCTATTAGTAGAAAAGACTAAGGAGCTACAGACTGCAGATTATATTCTCTCTCTGTATTGACATTTTATGAATTAATTCATTAGTGACTCATTCTGATTTTAAAACATGAGCCTTGTTAGAAGAATATCATATATTCTATCTCCTTGGGGATGAAAGTAATACAGTAAATATTGTCTGTCACACTATTTCGTGTTCTGTTCATTAATGTGGTTTGAGAAAGGGGGTTGCTTTGTAGTGGTGGGTTGCTTTTTTTTTTAAATCTAATTCTTCCCCAGGCAAAAACAGAGAAAACAAACACTTGACACAAAATGACATTTGGACATGCCCTGATCAGTTCCACAGATAGATCTTTATATGGATAAGAAGCAGCACCATTTTTGATGCAGGAAAATCTTGATACATGTTCCACGTTAGGACCAATTATTTGTATGCTTCATGTTCCCCAAAAAAACTACACCCCACCCCCAGTAGAGATGCCAGTTTGTGGTGAAACCATTTTTACTTCTGATGTGGGTACCACTATAGAATTCCACCACCCTAACTGCTCTCTCATCAGACACAGTCAAATCACTTATGTGTCGCTGCATTCCTAGCCTGAAGAAGCTAACCTGTTTAAAAAGGTAAATAATTCCCATCTCTATACTAGCCTAAACTAGACAAAGGACTGCCACAGTCTGCAAGGCAGGTTCATCAGACAGGGGCCCAAAAATGTAGAGATACCATAATATATGTGCGTATCTGCTTCTCAATATAGCATAGCACGTGTGCATATACACACAAACATTAGTTCCACATTTTAAATATGGAAAAGCTGGCAGAAAAGGCTCAGGAGAAATGAGACTAAGCTAATTTTGCCAGTGCAGAGAGAGAAACAATCTCGAGGCTGAAGGAATGCATAGAGAAGATTTTCAAGAACAAGTTTAAATTTGAACTAGTACCCCGCCTCCTACATATCTCAGATCTGCTGGGTAGCCACTTTAATTTTTTGCATACTCCTTTTCCTTAATGAATCAGAGTTTTTTAGTTATTTGTGATCTTTACATTCCCCTTTTCTCACTGTTTCCTCCTCAGGCCTCCCAATCATAAGGCAGTTGCACTCTGTGTCACTACCATTACATTTCCATTTTTGTACAAGTTCTAAAACGTGGGCTTGTCTCGTACTGAGATTTTCCACGCAGTTCTACAGAACACAAGAAAAATAGAATTATGTCCTGCAGCCCTTAATCATACAGAATTGTCATTGCTAAGTTAGTAATTGTAGTTCGGTGGTAATTTGTGAATAAGAAATCTTTAGCACTAAATATAGTTTCCTGACTGCATTTGGCATAAGGCTTTGGAACCTGAGTTAAAAAACAGGGTAAAGGAAACAGCATCCATTTACAAACTGCATCCATCGGCTTCCTTTACTTCCTTGTTGCATTTAAAATATTGCTAGGATAAAGAATGTTTTTAATCAGCAGTCTTTCAAATTAAGGTATTACTTATTATTGATTACTAAAAAAGAATGGAAGAAACCCTCTTACGCCACAAAGAGCTGGATTAAAACAGACAGGTCCCATATTTCAGTCTCTTTTAAAAAAAAAAAAAAAAAAATATCATGCAATCATCTTTTTCCAAACAAAGTTATTTTACAGTGTCCATTTCTGGGACAATTTAAGTCCAATTTAAAAAAAAAAAAAAAAAAGATTTTATACCAGATTTCTTTAAGAATGTGACGAAGCCACAAAATTATGTTCAAGTCATTACTTCCAACATTACAAAACCTGTGGGAGTTCAGTCTGCAAAGTCTGTCCCATCACAGAGTGAACAAAACACCAAATTTTAATTCCCACAAAGTGGGGAATTAAGCCCCACAAAGTTTTGATTCAAGATTTTACATCTGACCTTCTCTTACTACTCTTCGCCAGCAGCACTGTTTAAATACCAAACTCATAACTTAGCACAGGCCTTGCAGCTCTGAAGACTTTCAGCTTGCATATTCCTCAAGCACTGTTAAAGAACATGGTGACCGGGAGAAGGCAACTTCTCTTCTCCCCTCCATACGTATCACAGTGAGTGCCCCAAATGAAATATCGACCCTACAGAAACCAGCAAAACTCCCACTGACATCAGGGGAGCCAAGAGTTCTCTGATATTTATCAGCTAAGTTAACTTTGCACCGTTATGCTTCAGTGCATCAATTAATTAATATTTTTTTTTCCTCAAAGAAGAGAACATCAATGAAGTTACAAATCATTTTGTTACCCTTCTCTAGAATAAAGTCACTGACAAATGATATGTGGTTAGCTATTCTGGTAACTTGGCATGGTCTTGGGATTTCCAGTGATTCAACTCTTTATTATGAATAGGAAGAAGTCTACAAAGCAGGAAGTGAAAAAAAAAAAAATAATGGACAAACAATGATAAGCAGTTATGTCCTAAATGAAGTTAAAACAAAAATTGAACATAAAAGAGTAGTAAAGTGAGTATTTTCTTAGATCTGTAAGACAAACACAGAACTGCTGGGCATTTTTTAAATGACAAAGCACCTCTCAGGACACTGACAAAAGGCAGAACATGGTCTATTCTGGAAGTCACAGGGAACACTGTTTTCTCCTACGATATAAAATACATTGTATAGTTTTAATCAGACTAATGAAAAAAAACAACTAAGGATATGAATTTGTATCTGTTAAAACCAAAAAACGTACAGTTCCTATGTTAACAAAGAGATTCAAGTGCAAAAGCAACCAAAGTATTGTTATTGATCATCAAACTAAGACTTACACACGTAATAAAAATTCTGCCTAAAAAAACTACACTAGACCTCTCACAGGTTCAATCGTTTCCTTACGGGGCTTCAAGTCCAGGGACAAAACCGTATTTTGCTGTTCCTGGTAACTTCTGCTTTAAAACTATGCTCCCTGCAGCTGCAGGACCTTGCTGGAAACCCATGCGTGAGAGATCACTGCAGGCCAAGCAGGGCACGGGCTTTCTAGACAGGGTTTGCTAAACCTGAGCCAGCGCTCTGCTGTGCGATGACAGAAATCACAAGCCACGCATATCATAACTGCCACTGAGCTCATGCTGGCATTTTGTTTAACTCATTCTAGAAAAATCTGAATGGGCTCCTGACTCTTCTGCCTGCACTTGTAGAATACTTTAGTAATTCTGGGATTATTTTTTTTCCCCCCCCTCAACAAAAAGCAGAAGGATTACTTTAATGGCCATGTAAAACTTTTTCTAAAAGATTAAAGAAAGCAGTGGTTTGTTCTGAAGTTTTGTATTTTTTAATCAAAGCCTTAAATTTTAATTGCAGAACAGATGGTTAAGTCATTCAAATGATTCACAGGATTGTAGCTGACACTGATACGATTTCCAGCATCTCCCAAATCCCAAACATTCTAAACCAGGAGTCCCAAGGAAGCACTGGAACATGAACTTCATTCTGGCCTAGCACTAAAGCAGAAATCATCATGCCCATGAGTTATAATATGTCTAACTTAATTAACCTTTGGAGGCCATTGAGTTTGGAAAACAAGAATAAAAATACATAAAATAAATAACCAGTTTATTACGTGGTATTTCTAATAATGTTATCTCTGGAAAAATCCTGAGGTGGCAAAAATACAGCTCACAGCTCTGCCATAGCTTTCTGAACCCTCCCTTTTGTAAGAAGGCAGCTTAGAGAGGAAATTTAATACTGGACTGTTTATCTACGTGAAGAAAGAGTTTTAATAAGTAACCAATGAGGAAAATTGTATATGGAGTTGCGAAGCCAAGTTTCTCACAGCATTTCATTATAACAAAGGTACCAGATATGCTAAATGGCTTGATTACTTTTGGAGCCTATTAGTGCTTTAGCTGTACTGCTGAACAGCTGTTAAACAGAAAAAGCGCTTCTTTCAGTACTTTTATATGATTTAAAGAAATCAATGAAAATTAGAAGTGAGTAGAAGATATACCTTATTTTCTAGAGCATTGCTCCACTCTTTCAATAAGTTAACATGCTGCACTGCTGAGCTGGCTTCATGTGCTTTAATTTGTTGGTTTGTTCCCTGTGACAACAAAGAATTTATACATTTTAGCCAATTCCACTTCTTTTAAACCTACAAAGAAAGAGTATATCAAGACATCGAACCAACACTACATATTTTGGTTCACGGATGCATGTTGCAGAACTGTAGAGAGAAGGGAGGTCTACTTGGGAATTTACAAAAGTCAGGAATACATTTAATATAGCAAGTGTTTTATACAACTGCCATATATCTCCATCCAGTGTGTTTGATACGTCAGAGACAATAAAGATGAACAAGATTTACAAAATGAATTATATTTTAGAGTCTTCTGTGTAGCTTTACACTAAATAAAGCACAATAAAACTCCTGAGTCATACAAAACCTAAAACATCCAATTCCCCAAACCGTAATTTAAAACTTCTGTTGTATTTCACGAACAGCTTCATGAGCACTAAATTTTCCCTCAGATGAGTATTAGACAAATATTTAAGATAAATTTATCATCGTGGTAAACTGCCAGCTTTATAAACTACTTTGAGAGATAGCACAATGCTTAGTTTGTCATCCTAAGATGTTACCATGATTGCTCTACGATATTCAGATATGCTGCCTCTGCACAACCTACAAATGCTGTTACAAATAACCACTATATAAAAAGTTTACAGAACACACATAGATCGTATACAGAGTACATAAAATGCAGACCATATTACTTTCTTTATTCGTATTGTGTTGCATTACACCTACCTCGGTAAGTGTTTTGCAATGCAGAGTATATTAGCTTTGATGGTAGATAACGCTGCAAAGCAACTGAAAGGGTTTCAATGATCCTCAAGGTATGTACTCTATATAAAATACTAAAAATATATATGTGGATATATGTACATATATGCACACATATACATACATAAAATGAATGGCAATACATACGACATAACAGTGGGCAGGGTTACAGCATCGATCGGTTCTACCACTAAGAGCATTACTGTTAACACTTAAAATGACGAATGCTCATTATCAAAGAACCTGGAAATACCTGCAGGAAGTAGTCTATTGAGAAGTGTTGCTGTTTACAGTTCTTGTCTCTTTAAGTTATCATGGGCTAACAAGTGAATCACACTATCTGATAAACTCCTTTTTTTCTCCTGTCAGCAGTTTCTTAAATTTCCTGACTGATCTCTTCATTATATAAGCATCCAAATTCCCCAAGTTATACCATAAAGGAAGCAGAATATTGGAAGAGATTGGAATAACAAACTCTGAGGTTTGGCCTTCTTTTATTTTTAAAAATATTGCAGGGATTACCAGGATTAAATTCTAAAACTTTTTTTTTTTTAAATAAATTTCATGCTATGCTTTGATTATACACCTATGTGCACACAGACATACGAATGCACATAAAAATACATGTTTTAAGTGCTCTAAGCTATATTTAACCTTAATAAAAATATTAAGACACACAAATGAGAGAAAATATAAACATACTTAGCTCAAGAAAATAAATACTTTCATAGAAACAACTGAAGTTACTAGTCTATTTTTTGAAGAACAAAAGTGACCTTCCTCTTATTCTAAGTTAAAAAGTTCTTCAAACGTATCATCTTTCTATTTCCACAAGACGTACCCCATAACTGAACTCCCAAACCACTGCAGGAATGTGTGGGCTTTTCACATTGCTTATTTTTAAAATGCAAAACCAAACACCTGCTGCGTAATCACTTGGTGCAACTTGATGACTTTTTCTTAACCGAGACTAGAGAAGTCCAGAACTTTCATGTCAAAGAGTTAGGTTCTACTTGCAGACTTTCATCAATTGGGAAGGATAATTGTTATATACTGACCTGAAAAGTGCAGCCATAACGCTTAAAACTACAGGTACTTGGGGCATTAATACATTCTGACAAATGTGCATTCAACTGCAATAGGAAAAAAATGTGAGTTTTGGCAAAAGACGTTTGCATGATAATGCTCAAAACATAAAGGGCACAGGTTATCAGGTTTGTATCGTGTGCCATTTGCAGAACATACAATAAACGTGTGTATATTTTCTCCAGTCTGACCTAAAGTGCAAATACTATATATACACATATGTAAACCACACGCACATGCCAATACAGTATACAGTGTGATACATTTAATATACAGTGAAACTTCTACTAAAGACTATTTCAATAGGTAACCCAATTTAAAAAAAAAAAGCAAACAGAAAGAACACACTCTACAATTATTTAGGTTATTTCATTTTACTTTAGTGAATGACTAATCTTTTCTTAATAAGTAATTTTTTACTGGTGTTCTGAACAAGTCTTAAGATCAGTTTCACTGTAGTAAAGTACATTTTTTCTAATCCTAATTTCATGAAGAACCAATTTTTCTAAACATAACATGCAATTCTCGGTGCCTAAATTTTAACGATTACACAAAAAAAAAAGACTAAAGTACTGCAGGAAACAGACAAAGTGTTTTAGAATAGGTACAGTTAAGTAACTTTAAAAAAAATGCAGTACACAGGACTAAAACTGATTAGTAAAATGCCTGCATTTTTCACAGATTGAGATTTGTTCCAATACCTCGGATTATTATGAGCACAGACCACTTTTCATTTAAAAATAAACCAATTCACAGAAGCATATACATGTATACAGACAGCAGCCATTACAGCACAGAGGGCAGCAGCTGGATGCAAACTGCCTAAAAGTTGGAGCAAAGAGCCGTTTTTGGAAAGGATGGTGCAACAAACACTCTCTCCGCGAGTGTGTATTTCCCACAAAGCAGAGAGGAGCTAGAATCTAGCTCCTCAGATGGCACCACTCTTTTGGCTTTCAAAAACCACATTTGAAATTCCCCCACCATAAGCCCCACATGACTCTGCTCATCCACCTCCGCGGAAAGAAGTGGGGAACCAACTCTGCTTTGAACGTGTCACTCTGGAACAGGCAGGACAGTCTTTATAAAATCTGATACCGAGATGCAAGCCATCACTCATCTCTGATATACACCTATTACGTTCTAAAATGGTATCTGCAGAAATTCACAGTATAGTTTCAAAAGACACGTGGTTCAGAAAAAAAAATAAGACCAAATAAGAGAGACATGTGGTATAACAGGCTTTACAAGAATGCCACGTTTTCAATTTCTCAAAACTAGAAGTCTGCCAAAGAGTTATGAATTAAACATGAAAAATTGCCTTTTATTCTGCAATAGGATATTCACTTGTTGTACACTCAAACTGTTAGGCAGGCATTTTCCCATTTTCTGCATTAGAGTAGTTGTTGTCCCTAACCATGCAGCTACGCAATATATACATTTTCACAGTATCAGAAAAAAATTAAGCAACACACAGCAACAGATGATGCAGGGCAAGATGACTGTTTAAAGTGCTTTTTCCTACCATCGGTTTCAGAACCCAATTCTGACTATATATGCAACAACCCAGGCTTTAGTGGGTCAATTCTTAATAGCACTTGGATATACCTCTTCTCAAAGTAAGTGCTGACGTCAAGATTTAAGAATATGGCCAAGTGGTCCACAACCAGGATCTAAACTCGGAAGTAAGCACTGATAGAACTGGCTCAGTATACATATTATCTCTTTTCTTAGCGGCTCAGATTCTCTTAATAGGTACAATAACTATCATGCATTTTATATTTCATTATCCTGGGGGAAAAGACTGCCCCGGTGTTTGGCAGGTGCCTTGTGCGCTATGACATTATTAATAATTTACAAGTGTAACTGAAAAATAGTACAAGTCCAACTTAGGATGTCAGTATCACTGAAAAGAGAAAAGCTCATCCTCAGATCAGAAACCTAACTTTCCTTAAGTGAGGCTTACAGGGTGCTGAAAACTTAAATAAGCTCTTCCCCATCCTTGGTGAGTAAACTCTATTTTAAGGAAAAAATAACACACATCGACTTTGACATATGCTACTTATATCTTTTAACATACAAGAACATGGATCTGTTCAAACAAGACAGGTTTTAATTTTTATTTTTTTTTTTAATCTGGTCTATATATTACTGCAAGCTTCTATAGATTAAGAGAAATTTGTATGCATTGTTGCATCTGGCTTTGGAATGTTATACTTATATTACTCTATCTCTTACACTACTTCTTTGTCAGTTATTATTTTTCCCAAATTTAACAGATTTAATCATAATCCAAGTTCTTCCATTGAACGATTCTACACATTTATATAATTTTTCTAGTCTTTACTAATTCTTGTCAATGTGCACTAAATTTTAATTCTCTATTTTTATTTTAATATAAACTACTACCACAAAGTGCTGCTCTTACTGTGCTCAACAAATGCTTCAAATGGGGGAAGGGCAAGGGAAGAGCTAGTAAAAATGAAAACAGAAAAGACATGCGCTAATCTTGGGCAAGCCAAGTGTAATAATGACACAAAACTAAGAAATTATTTCTTTTTAAATAGTTTTTCAATAAATCATTAAAATATTTTACTGTTATCACACTTAACTGTGTGGTAGAAAAAGCTTTTCTTTAGATCTCACATTTTAATAAGGAAATGGCTTCTGGCAAAATTCTTGCGAGATCTTACTATAAAATTATTTAATTTTTCAGCACAACACTGGGCATGACTTCTTACCTCGCTCCTCATGAGTGTTTTAACACTACATTTATGAGGACATGACACCATGACACACGGGCAGTCTGTATCTTCATGTTTCTACAGAGGAAAAAAGCAAACAAACCACAAATCAACTCTTACTCTGAAATTAAAAGGAGGACTTACCTGCAAAGAAAAGCATCCCACAGTAATTTAAAAAGCACACAAATTTTTTTACAATGTTTATCCCAATTGTGCAGAGTAACTGAACTGCAATTGCTCAAACATAGTTTATGCTCGTGATAGACATGTTGATATTTTAAAGCAAAAGGAAGTAGTTTCTTGTGTTTTGCCCACACAGAATAAATCTATTTGCTTCCCATTTTATTGTTTTTATAGAGCAATGAAACTATAATATAGGTCAAGTCTTCTTCCCCAACAACTACTCACAAAAATGAGTAAATTAAAATCTTTAAGAGCAAGCAAAACCACTGCAGATGTCCTTTTAGTGAGGGTATACAGTGCATGAAAAAGCTCTTCAGAAATGTACACTGCCCACTCTCAGAGAATCTCTTTCCTATGCACGGATAGTCCCCTTCCAGTTCTTTTCTGATTTTGATTCCCAAACATCTGATGCCAAGTCTCACTATTATGCACCAAAGTTCAAAGAGATGTTGAAATTTTATGATGAGGCTGGGCAGGCATTTTGATCTGAACCTAAATGATGACGGATACTTCAGGATAGATGCCAAACCATATTCACGATAGGGAGGGAAGAAAATCAGACCCAAGCTAATTGAATTTACATTGCTTCTCAGTTTCTCTCAACAGAATGAAAAAACTCGAAAAAAAAATCATTTAATGTCAAGTGACATGTCCCATTCAACTTGAAACAAACTGTTTCACTGCTGGTACTTAAGAAAAGCAGAGGAAACAAAGGTCTAGATTTCTAAGACTGTTAGACAAGGAAGAACAAATAGCATGCCCTTGTTGCCCAGTAATGATGTCTACTTTTTGAAAGAAAACCAAGACCCAAAGCCCTTAGGCATGAAAGACCTAGGTTGAGAAGTCTGCCATAAATCTGCAAATATTTGACACCATATACCTCCTCACTTTTAAAAACAAATCATCAGGAATGCTATTCTGAAGCAAGTCTATCTTATTGTCCTTCTTATTCGTGCTAGTTCACTCTGTGTAGCACACATAGTTACAGCTACAGAAGGATGGAAGCCTAGGTTGCTCCTTAGCCCGAGAGCTGGGACAGCCTCCCAAAATGTGTGGCTGAGGAGCTAACCTCAATCCCTCCTCACCAGGACATGGACACCCAGCCAGGAGCAATGCTAACAGACTGACAACACCTCTCCCCAGGGTAACCTCTGTCAGGGTGACTGGTGTTCTCCTGATGAGCCCTTAGGACCATTTCAGCTCAGACTCAAGGAGCGGACCTGGGCCACCTCATTCTGTCATCTGGTTGAAGAGAGACATCACATGCTACTCTGCAGCTCTAGGGAGCCTACTGCACTACCAACATCTTTGACGGTTTAACTACAAAGCTAGAAAAATAATACTCTCTTCTAACATTCATTCCCTAATTTTATCTCACTCTTCTTGAACCTGCCCAATCTATCCGGCAAAGGCTATGACACTGACCCTTGGTTCACGATAAAAAGGCAACATGCATGTCTTCTCCTCAGACCTCTCTGCAGTCCTCCTCTTCATTCCATATCCCAGGGGCAACCCACTGAAAGCAAGGGGAGCCCTTTCCAAACACTTCAGGATATACCAGACTAATCTCATTCCAGTGGCAGAATCCTCTTCCTACCAACCAGCTAAGTTCAATCAGTTGAGCACACAAAGCCAAAATGCAGGACATAACATGGGTAACACCACACGCACAGACGGGGGCAAGGCAGGATGTTAACATGGCTCCCCAGAGAAGCCAGCGCCATGCTGGGAACAGGTCTGGTTCCAGAGCAGTGACAAGGGAGCAAGGCGACAATGTCTCCTGCCTTCCTCAATGCTCAGTGGCATTTTGGCCCACTTAGAATAATCCAGTTTGTCTTGGCAGGGTCTACCCAGGACAGCCTTTTCATGGCCAGGGTGGCAGTGAAGAGCCTAGGCCTAGTAATGCTGCCCTCCCACACCTGTATGGCACCACTGCTGCCCAAGCATCAATTTTATAGGAGAAGCACTTCCAAGTAGTTTTGTGGATTATTCACAGAAAAATATAATAATTCAGAAGGATTTCAGGCTACTGATTTCTGTTTTTAAAATGCACCACCTTTGTCTGCCAGGAGTTACGGGATGGAAAAGGTAGCTTTGTGACAAAAAACCTCAACTTTTTCAGATGGTTTAAACAAAAGAAAAGAAATTAAGAAGCTAACTTGCCTAGAGGCAGTGCAGGCAAGACAAATGCAATCTAAAAAACCGTGTACTAACATGGTTAACTAAAGAGTCTGCCTCCAACAACGGGGATTTCCTACCCCACGGGTCATGGGATTCTATGAAGACATGAACCATACATACTCCGGTAAAATTATTTTTGTTTCCATTTGCATACCTTTTTTCTCGGTACGCTCCCTCTATCTCCATTTTCAGTTCAAGTCATTGAGTCCTGCTTCAGTCATTATTACATTAGTGAAAATTTTAGGCTACAGAAGCTAGAGATGAACTCAAGCTCTGGGTGACAAAACTCAAATGAGAAGTCAAAAGGAGCCTTTCATTCAAACATACAGTCTCATTAGGCTCCTGATTCTCATTACCAAAGTAAAACGAGGTACCATTTTATCAGGCCACAACACATATAACCATCTGCATTTCTATGATCACTGAACTTTTAAAAATCTAGGCCAAAAAAAAAATTAAAATAGCAGCCAATTGCTAATCTTCTAATTGCAGAGCTTTTTGCACCCTTAAAGCAGTATGGAAGCAAAACTGTATTTTTTCTATGTACTGAAACATATAAGCCAACGATAACATGAGAACATGTAACACTCCTTGGAAGTGTTCTGATTTACAAATGCATATTTGTTTAGAACTTTGAAGGACAGGTGAAAAGTGGTACCAACTTTAATACAATCCAAATAGTGATATCTCACCATACAGCTGTATTTTAACCTCTTTGGCTCTCTGGATAAGCCAATTCTATTACCTCTTAAAGCAACTCAGAATTCTACCACTTAAGATTTTGGAGAACAATTACGTCATTTACAAACACTCTTTTCTGTGTTTCAGAGTAATATGCCATTCTTGCTTCCAGTGTGCATGTCTAAAACAGGTTTCACTGTGAATTAAAAATCTGATAGACTAAAACCTGTCTCAGCTTCTGAATATCTTGAAAGCTACCGCTAGTTCAAAGATTTCCTACGTGTCAAATCCATCATCATCTGATAAAAGAGAGAGCTCTTAAACTAAAACAAAGTTCTATATTGCTCAAAACCTAAGGATGATTTGAGACTCTCAAAAATTTAACTACATTGCTCCTATAAAAAGAAACTGCCTACATAGAACCTGTGAGCATTTTGCTTAGATATGGAAATCCAGCTTGTACAACGAGACATAGTTAACATTCCCTAGTTTTGTCTTAAGATACTACGCATTTTTAACTGTCTCTTTGTCTCACATTAATTCCCAGTTTAAAAAAAATTCTGCAAGAACAGCATCCACATAACTAAATACAGTTTCACCTCTCAGAATGTGCAAGAATAAACACGGTGTAAACTTAATTTTCTCTGTGTATTTTCACATCTCAGACACCTTATGCCAGTAACACACACAACTATTAAAGTACCAGCCCTTGCAAGTATACACTCAAATAATTGGAAGCCAGATCTAAATCAGAACTTGGTGAGATTCCACCTACACCTTTTGTAATGGCATCTCTGAGCAAATAATGTTTCTTATCACTGTGAGACTTCACCTAACAAAGGATACACAAGAACACAAGTGAAAATTAAACTCTCATCACTCTTACTATACTAAGGTGGTCTGAAATCCAGACTGTGAAACTATGAAAAATATGTAAACAGAATTTAAAAAAAAAAAAAAGTTAGAGAGATTCAGCATGATACAGTTAAACGCAAAACAACGCAAATGCAGTCAAGTTACAATTCTATGTGTAAAGCAAGACTTTCTTGACCTCTACTCTATACTTCAAACTCACAACATGCTGCTTTATCAGACAACCTACTTAGATGCCAAGAACAGCAGTAACTTGGCCTAGGCCTGTCACGTACCATTGCTGGTTATGCCAAGCCACAATTTGTTTTTACAATCTTTCCTCCTTTCCTCTTACAAGAGATCACACAGTATCCAAGAAGGGTTGTATAGAAAGACGCTACTTCTCCATTCAATTGCTACGCTTATGCTTTTCCTGCATAATATTTGATTGTTATCATGGTAGTTGCATTTATTATATCAATTTAAGCAAAATTAAAAAGCACAGCAAAAATTACTTTAGTATCAGTGTTCTGCAGTGGGTCTGATTTTTTTTTTAAATGCAGTATCTGAACATCAGAAAAAAAAAAATGTTTCCCAGTCACTGCAGTAGCTGGGGGCTTTGCACTCTTTTTTGACTTACTAATTCTTGCTAAGGCTTTACTGGGAACTACACAGAAGCACAAGAAGAGTTATTATTCCACATTACTGTATGGAATCTTGTTTTATATACACAAGAAAATACTGCACCTGCAACATAATCATTGGGACTTGGCTTTTACAGTATTTACAGGTTGTCTCCCGGTATTTACAGGTCTTCTCTACATGGTCTGGCAAATCTTTTCTCAGTATTTTTTCTTTGCAATCAGCACGAGGACATGAGAGTTCTTCAAACTGACAATCAGTTTTCAAATGCATCTGAAAGATAAAAAAAAATAGTCAAGTAAACAAAGTTTTGTGGATGTCTTCTATCTTTTCAGACATCACACATCAAGTAACTTCAGAACCAAAATAAGCAAAGTCATTTTCTGCACTATATTGTGCAAGAACAAACGTTATCAAATCTACTCAGGAAATTACCTAGATAGCAAATTTCATTGCGTTACAGATGTATGCAAGCTACTTTTATACTAAAAGCATACTACGACAGCCCAAAATTTCACACAGACTATTTAAACAAAAGGTAAGCACTCTTTTCCAAGGTGTGTTATTCCACATAAACATAGATGCTGCCCTTAAGCTGTTTAAGTACCTGAGCTTCCTCATTCAAAGCAAATTTAAGTACCTACATATCTGACTGCAGACTGCTGCGTAGCCATCCCTTCCGACTGCTACAATTACTGGGTTACCATTATGTTATACCTTCATGAATCAAAGCTACAAGTTATTTTGTACACGTCTAGAGAAGCCAAAGTCTTAACTCCACGCATCAGCTACCACTTACATGAGAGAATTAAGACTGGTAAATAAAAATAAAAAGACACCAAAAAGGTATTCAGATTTCTCACTTTTGTAAAGTACACATTAAGATTTCTTTTTTTCCCCCAATTTTAGTTTTCCCTCCAGTTTTCATTTGCTTCATGCATTTACATTTCTGAGCTTTAGTGTCACAGTCACATGATTTTTGACTATAATTCCTTATAGCTCATCTAAAAGCTGAGTTTCAAAACAGTTTAACTCTACTCTACAGTAGATATAAATCAGATTAACCACTAGTGTAAGCAAGTCAAGAAATGGGCTGGGGTTTTAATTTGTAAGATGTCTTCTCACTCTAACTCAAAAGGAAGCTTATATTAGATTACTTACCAGTAACTGACCCAAAGACAGTTGTTCTTTACAGCCCTTGTTTTCATTTCTGCAGTATATTTGAAGGGCAAGGAGTTCTCTCCTGCAACAATTATCTTTAAATACCTGAAAATAAAAATTTAAAAATGGTATCATTTTAGAAATTTAAAACAACTCAAGAATATGCAACTTCAAATAAAGTAGGAGCCATGCAATTTGGCTATGGCAGTGTCATTTAAGTCTAGCTTTGTGTGCCAGAAATAAAATCCTACTATTCAATTTGTCTTGAATGTGCACATCACAGACTCCTCCACTATGAAGCAGCCCAGTGAAAGAGAGTATTTGGACAGATGCTCTCCTACTGTTTCCCTTTTACTATAAATGCAATAAAGGAAAGGTACTAAATTTTTTTGCTATTTGCTTGCCAATAATTGGCCTGCATAAGCTAGAACTCTCTACACCATTTGAGAAACTGGTGTATTAGATGCAACACCATAAGACAAACCAGAGCCAAAGCTCAGTGGGTCAGAGAGGAAGGATTTTGTGGAAGGCAGTCCCACTATGGCTGGTTAGTTGGAACACCTCCTTGCACTTCTGTGGTAACGCATAATTAAAGACATTTTCCAAGGTCTTAGACTGGCGGAAGCTTATTATTTCACAGATAAGCAGGCTTTAACTATCTCTCCATTTAAATATTTATAAGCCTTCCAGCATATTTGGCCTGTAATAGAACTGAAAGAAGCTAGAAATAAGAGAGCTTGGGGTTTGGATTTTTCACCTTTTACGGGTAATATCCCATAAAAGATACAGAGACAGCACAACTGCACTCTCAAGAAGCCCCATAGCTAAGGGCAGGAACTGGAGATAAGGACTGAAGACCATTACAACGATTTTGAAGCCCAAAACAAAGGGATAAAAACTTCTAGTTATTTTGCAATTGCTTTCACAACCTGTGACTACTTCTCTGACAAACAGATGCTGCGTATACTGCGGGGTTAGTGTAATTACAGAACGGTTCTGAACGCTCACATTTAATAACATCAACAACAACAAGGAATTATGATCAGATCCGTCCACAGTGACTATGAATCTATCCCTAGTATCAGTGAAGAAGGAAATGCTGCAACTCTTCTCATCCAATCTCATCTGACACAGGTCACTGATTTCCATTTACTTTTCAGATGCATAGGTGAAGTTTCATCAATCAACAAATCTCATCTGAATAATCCATTTCCAGCACCATAGTATTTTTTCCATAGTAATTCACATTGTTACTACGTGCAAGTTCTGCCCACTGAAGTTAACAGTGAAGTTTGGCCAAGACTGTCAAGAAACTCTTCGGTGACTTTGAACATCAGCATTCTAAGGGAAGAGAGAGGCTTCCAGTTTCATGAAAATCACAGACTAGCACAGTTAGTCTTATATGTGTATTTAATACACACTGCCCTTCGTGCCCTCCTCCTATTTTACAGATATTTGAAATTTCACAACAAATGTACATGTTTACATATATTGGGAGCTAAAAAGTCAGAGTTAACACAAATAAAATAGGCATCACGATTATTGGTCTGAGCTCCTGGAGAACCCATCCACCTAAAAACTGGAATAGGCTGAGCACTTTTCAGAGAACTATTTTGTGTTAAGACAAGGAGAAATTAAAGTACTCATTAACCTTTTCTTGAGAATGGTAATGACTGGAAGCATTTATTTAGGCATTATTACATTATATTATTCTATTATACTATTATTATAGACTACTAACAGAAAGAATTTACTAAAGAAAAAACATGTAACGTAAAACCTAAATAAATCATGTACTAAGTCAAAAAGAATTTTCTCTACCCTCAACTTTTCAAAGACAACACAAAGTTTTGCTGTGAAAAAAATACTAAAGTATCAGTGAAATAACTTATCCATATAAGACGACTCCATTACAGTTACTATAACTCCACACTGTTCTGGTTCCAGCGTGTTTCACAGAACACCACACTGTAAAAACAGATTAGTGAAACAGCAGCCCCTGGTCTGGAGCCAAATCAGAAGTAAGGTTTGCCTACACCTGTGACATCTCTGCATCTACAGGAGATATAATACTTCCCATCTTCCAGGTTGATGGGAGGACAATTGCAATGTGTTGCTGCAGCTCCCAGCTATGAAAACAAGCTGTGACACCCGGCTGGACCATCAGGCATCAGGCTGACATTGTTTTCTACCGTGTGGTTAACAGGAAAAATGAGCTGTCGTTTTATATAAAATACATGGTTTCAGTTTTATAACAAAACTATCTTCCTCAGGTAGCTTATTAGGCTTATGAAATAATTACCACAAAGCAATAACACATCTTATCTATGCCACACAATTCAATACTCTTGTGTAAGAAACAATTTTAACAATACCTTATCTTTTACTATGCTTTCTTGACACGCTGTACATTTTGGACTAGAAGAACTGCAGAGGAAAGAAAACAGAAAAACTATTTTAACTCATCTGAATTTTTGTAGCACAAAGATTTACGTCGATGAGTCAGTTAGTTATAATTATTCAATATATTTTAAAATCATTAAAAGTGGACACAGTTCATTGTAATGAGATGACATGGTGTTATTTCCAAAAATTGGAGCAGTGAGTTTTCTGTGGACAGTATCTGGCATTCCCAAGGAAATAAGACCACCACAAAACCTCCAGCCAACTGTGCAGTGGTTTTCTTCAAGGCGGCAGAATTTATTCCCTATCTTCCAGAATACATGTGATCCACAATTTTCATCACTTCTCAATCTATTCGTGCAAACAGGCAAAATGCTGTCTCTTCAATTACCCAGTCCTTTCTTAAACACCACCTAATTAAACTTCACTTTCTCTGACAATTAATTAAACATCATTTCAGGGTAAAAAAGTACTTATGTCCATGTCCTTCAAGTCTGTTCTGTTTTTAGCAACTGTTACAGATCCTTCCTCCCTCCTTTATCTGAACTATTGCCTTGTAGGTGCTTTGGCAATCTAATTACCAAACTTGGCGATCTCTTAGACATCAGGTAGGTTGAGGAGCAGAGTACTCTATGGACAGAAACGAACTGGAGTGTTCCTATAGCTGCTTCTGACTCTGACCTGCTAGGTGTCAAAATATAAATACCTTCGCTCCTTTTTAGCTCCTTTTTCCTGTGTAAAATGGGGATAATCAGACTGCTCTCCCTTGCAAAGCACTAAGATCTGTGAATGAAAAGCACTAGGTAAAAGCGAGGTAAATTCTTTTGTAAAGCAACTCATTGTCAGGCCACGTAAATTGTGGCTCCTGCAGCACTGCAAATCAATGTGAAAGGCTGAATAAGTTTGATTATGTTATATTATCAGTCTGGTTATTTCAAACCATCTCACTGGCTTCTGCTCCTTGAATTGACCACTCCGTGTCTCTCATTTCTGAGCACCTTAACTACCTTGCAGCTTCAGTATCTGTAATATTTTTCTTAAGTTAAAAAAAAAAAAAAAAAGAAAAAAGAGGGGAAACCAATCTACTTGAGGGCATATAGTGTTTAATACAATGTCACGCTTCCCTCGCTTTTACCGAATTCACTCAAGCATCCCAATTGCTCTTCTAAACTACTACTGCATACTGAGCAGGCATCTTTGCTGTGTTATCTACACTGACTCCCAATTCCTTGTCCTCAAATAACCCTGGAACAGAACCTGTGAGCATGTAATCACTGTGCACGCGCAGCAGCGTATCAACACTGAATGAAAAGGTTTTTGTGCCAAATACAGAAATAAACTTATTTTGCTTCCAGTTTTACAGCACACTTTTTATTTCTCACAAAAAAAAAAAGGAGCTGTAAATTCAATTTTAATAAAGGATTTGTTTGCAACAAGCACTTAAATATAGTGAAATAACTCGAATGAAAGAGCAGTGTGGTAGATGGTCTTAGCCATGTGTCCTTTTCAATAACAGACTGTTTGGAAAGTCAGAAAGGTAAAATTACACATATTCGAGCTGCACTGTAATAAGCACATGTGCGTGTCTCACAGCGGGGAAGGAAAATTGCCCAGATTCCAGCAATGCCAGAATTGTTACTGTTTTAAGATTGTTAAGGATTTGCTCGGTCCATCTGCACACATCCAAGCATGGCAGGTGTTTGGTTTTCTGCAGTCACTGTTATTAACCATATAAGAGTCTTCCAAAACCATATATTCAGAAAGAAGTAATTGCATTTCTTAAATACAAACCACACCTCACCTGAAAATGTGTATTGAAAGAAAATACACACTCTTGGGGATTTTTTTGTTGTTGTCGTTGTTTTAAATTCAACACACTGTAGCACAAAACCTACAGGAGTGGATTAGTGAGCTATGGACCCTTTGTATTTTTGCCCAGTACAGAGGTTACTCTTTATCATGAGACAGAGTAACGTAATATCCTCCAACCTGTTTTTTCATACTGCACATAGTCTTGATTTCTATCTACCTGAGATGACAGCATTTCCAAGTGAAATATAAACTAATACCTAGAGTCAGGATGGTAATAAAAAGTAAACAGTAGATCACCAAGACCTTCCAAAGTCAATCCCCTCTCTGCTAGCAGTCCAGAGTGCAACATCCAGTGAGCTCAACCTCTTCTGTACCTCTGCTTTCCCAGTAGCAAATGGAAGTATCGACTGCTTATTTACGCCAGGACATTAAAGCTTGCAGAATGGTCTCCAAATATTAGACCACGTTTTAAAATCACACTGCTGAATACAATCAGTAGCAAACACATCAAAGTTGAGAGGCGAAGAAATATACTTCTACTGATGCACAGATAGTTCTTAAAAGCTATATACTCCTTGAATGATTGCACTTTTATTCTTACCTAGGCTGGGAAAGATTGCATCTCTCAGCGTTCATTTTATAACTTTCACTGGCACACTTTGCACTCTGGCCCAAACATCTCAGTAATAGAGAAACCAACCTCCCTGACCCTACTGAAGCCCACAAAACATAAAGCCGCAAGACATGCAGCTAGCAGGGTTACAGGGAAAGGAAGCTCCACAAACAATTACATTTACCCCAAGGGTCCCACCACTCAACTGTAAGGCTGGGTCCACAGCTAGGTTAGGAGCTATCGCTCTAAGGAGACTGTGCAGGCTCAATTCCTCACACAGCTGTGATTTGCTGAGTGTATTTTACACCAAAATAACCGTGTTAGCAGTAACATGAAATAGCTACTCAGTCTAGGCTCCACAGGCAATGAAACTCCTACCTAACACATCACTGCGTGGGATTAAACCACTTTAACAACCATTTCAACTGTATTCATGGAAAGCTTAGTTGCCTTATCCTGACCCAGAGCAGAACACAAATGTTTGCACCAGCATATGGATAACACATACTCAAGCAACGAGCAGAAGCTGCTTTGAGCTAGGGCATTAGCTTCATGTATTCCTAAAACTACAATGTTGTCTACACTATTTTCAGCAGTTCACAAGACTTAAAGATATCAACCCCTTCTACCACAACGAAAAACATACCTTAGCAAGGCATTCATGCAGGTCTCGCAGAATCTGTGTCCACATTCAGTCTGTTTAGGATTGCATAAGATGAGGTGACATTTTTCACATTTATACTTATCTTCCACAGCATTTACAAATTTCTCTTTGTAGCCACCTTGCTCTGGAACATAAATCGATGCTGAAGGACTGCGATCAGGATTGGCTCTTTGTTGTACCATTTCTACAGATAAAGGGGGTTCTGTCTTCTTACTGGTGTCCATGCTCTAAGATAGTTTCTGTGAAGCAAAAATGAGAAAACTTCTGAGAACTGAAGACCTCTTTTTCCATTTAAAGAAAACAAATACAGCGTCTCCGAGAGACTATGTAAAAATGGAAAGCATTAAGAACAGATGTGTGTCCACACATCATGTGAACATAATACATACATAACCACCTAAGTACATTAAGCATAGAAAATCTGTAAAATAGTCTACATTTTTCAAAGGCTCTAGAAGGTCAAGAATTAAAACCTATTCCTTAAAGCAAAGTGTTAGTTAGTTATGGGCATCACTCTAGGAACAAATAAGAATGGAGTGCATATTCCTCCATCTCTCTCTCTCTCTGGAAAATGTCCTCAACATTGAAGTTATACCATTAGAGGAACCAGTGAGGGGTGTAGTGGAGAAGGTGCACTGGTACGGTAACACACACATTACTGTAAAAAACACACACCCATCAGTGTCCTCTACAGGGTATCTGGAATCTACACAGCTCCACTACCAACTTCGTCTGTCTATCCCAGGCAGTAGCAAACTAAGACACGCCGCTTTAGGTTTGTTGTAGAACAAAACAACAGGTTTTTACTCATTAAACACTTTCCAATCTTTTCATCACACATCCCCACATGACCAGTGACGCAAGTCTAACTGACAGAGGAGAAAGGCCTACATAACATGGCCACTTGATTAGCACACCAGGACTAAGCACAACTGACAGGCAGCTGAGAAAATAATTAATACAGTTGAAGACTGAATTATAGTACCTATTACCTTGGACTGAGTTTCTTCTAGGTCAGCATGCAAAGCATTAGCAGAGCAACAGAGGAAAAATACCTCAGGTTAAACCTGATTTCAATAATTCCCTTGCTTATCTTATAGCCAAACAAGCGTAAGTGGTCTTAAAAAAACCTTTGCACATGAAGGAGAAAGCACAGTTGGAGGATAAAACACCTATTTACATATGAGAAATGTCTGGCTCTTGAGAAGAGAAAGGCATACTTCAGTTCTCCCTCCATATTAACTGACACTTGAAATATAAACCTATTCCGCTGCTCCACGGTTGCCTCAACCACTACAGTTATAATTCAGCTTTAAGCAGAATGAAGAAATGAGACCCGGTTCATTTTTCAATTTTAGAAGTACGTCCATCAATACCACAAAGAGCGTCAAATGCTTCACATCCCAAATACACAAACTTTGTACACCATTTTTGTGATGTCTTATCTTCCTTCACTAAGCCCAAAACAAGTACTTGTAATTAAATGTATTTTCTTGTAGATCATTTCTGCTTTACATCTATACTTTTGGTATAGAACTCTCCACGGAGATTAAACAGACAAGGAAATTTCTTTAATTTCTGATGCCAACTGTTATTTCTAAGAACAAAAGACAAAAATCATTGCAACTCATTGCTGCTACTATTTCACATCTTTACATCAGCTGAGCAAGGGTAGAGGTGTTGAATGATGAATCCACACTTCAATGCCCACTTTCCCTAGAGGAAAGACTCCCTGCATCTTCATCAAACATCAAACCATCCTCATAACTCAGTACATAGATATGATGACTGGGTCTTATTCAAAACCACCAAAAAAACAAAGAACAAAAAACCCCAAGTAAACCAGTTTCTACAGTACCTGAAAGGGAAATATTAAGTCTGGTCCATAATCTGCATTAATGTCTGCCTTCTCCTTGTCTATTCTTCAAAGACTGCAGAGACTTGGCAGAAAATGCAGAGACTGTAACCAGCACACAAGAACTGAGACGTGATGTTGAGAACAAGAGTGTGAGACACGGAGGTTACAAGAAGTTCCACGCATGAGAAAGGACCACAGTTGATGAAAGCAGGTCTAGCTTTCGCAATTGCCCAAGACATGACTGCCACTGCTGAACATCTGTGGCTGGACAGAGAGGAACCCAGTCATGAGCTTAGGACTTGGCATTTTGCTGCAGTTGTAAAAGAAAAGGAGATTAGCAAGAGAGGGGAAAAAAGTGCAACTCCATAAGCATCTGGACTGGTGAAACTCAATTATCTATGGATTTGCTTCTTGTGAGTGACTGTGGGGAAAGCTTCATTTGGAGCCTGTAGTTTAGAAATCTGTAAATGTTTTCAGTTCTCTGATTTATAATTTGTAGATAGGTATTAATGCCTCTTTTCCCTTTGCAACTGTATGGTTTTTTTATCATATTCCAGACCTCTAGCGTTCTGTCAACTCTTGAAGTCAAAAGCCAACTTCAAGCATGCTGACTGGTAAGAACACCACAGAGAATGTGATTTTCCTTAAAATGCCAGAATAAAACAAGGCATGGCCTGACTGTGACCCTCAAAAGAAATTCAGAAAAAGAGGAACTAAAAGAGGTGCTGACAGGAGAAGTGGCAAGTCAAGAGAGAACAAAATTCCTGAACTTCTAAGTCATGCAACACAACTACTGAATGTCTGTTTCCCTGTTCAGTTTCTTCCAAATCGAAAGAAGCTAAAGATGATTGGAGACATGAGGTCTTCCAATAGGATGATTTCTTCAGGGAAACTGAATAATTAGTCACAAGGAGGCAGGCGAGAGGAGACAGGAAAGGTAAGAAAGAGAATATTCAAGATTTAACTGAGAAAGAGGACTGAATACCAAACGAGCAGCAGGTGAGAGTTTCATAGAGATATGAAAGTACTCAGGGACTGGGCCATCAGCTGGCAAGAGAGATTTCACACCAAAATAAACTGCACAGGGCTCCACAGGACTCCACTTTGGGAATTGATGGATTGGGTATCTTGTCACAGAAAACAACCAGAAAGCACACTGATAAATAAAATTTACTATGCAGTATGCCTAACAGTCAGATTTGTGTGCCTCAGCCTTTATATTTCTGTTTTATGAACAAGTACATCAGACCAGAAAAGCTAAACAAGCCCAGCAGCAGAACAGCCAGCTTGGTGAGGAATTCTCTTCCACAATACTCTGAACAGCGAGAATTTTCTTACGCAGCAAAACCAGGAAGCCATTCATGAAGTACTGCAATAAAACACGACTGAAATCTGAACTTAAAAGAACACCAAAACCTCTTTTCTTCCAACAGAAGAGCTGTATTTAACAAGGGGGTGGGGAGACGTGATGTCTATCAAACTGCACACACAAATCAAACCACAGAGCTATGCCCTCACACATGAGTTACATGCTCTGCACCTGGGTATGTCATCAGTGGTGAACCCAAGTGCAGATACTACAAACACTTCAGCTGCCACCTTTTTGCAAACAGCTTTCCGTTATGGTTTACATACCACTACAGGGTGTCATCTGCAATGTCATCTTTTCCTTTCCAGGAATCTTTAACAGCAGGACTCAGATTATACCCCCATAATCAGGTTTCAAACTGCCAACAAGAAGCAATTTTCCAGTCACACCTCAGTAAGACACTGTGCACTTACAGCAGTGAAGACAACATGCCTCCAGAGAGCCAGGAGGGGAGCCTGGCTAGAACATTCAAGATAGGCCAGTTCTGGTGGGGGCCTCCAACTCCTAAAGGCATGGCAAGCTGCCACCAAGTCAAAGACTCTGGTTCTTGTTCACGACGCTAAAATCTTAACTCCTAATTCACCACTAGCTATTTCTGAAGCTCCAGTTTCTTATCCCTGGGAAAAAGCATCACAAGAATACGACTTACAGATGTCTTTTAAAACTGTTAAATCTTGGACAATCACCTTTCAGGACAGATAAGCACATAAAAAGCGGCTCAGTCACCAAGGTCGGTCCTGTCCACTGTTGATTACATTCTTTCAGCCACCTCTCCTGGAGCCAGCATATGGCTTTATTCATGCTTCTGCAGAGTAACAGGAGCAGAGATTGACCTGGTCCTCGGATGGGTGACACTGCTTGCTCCTGGGTGTCACATCTCACCGAGCTCCATTTTTGTCACTGCTCTTGTTCAACGCAAGCGGTTCTCAAGTGCCTGAGGCTGGACCTCAGTTAATATTTCAGGCTGTGTAAACTGCAGTAAAGGTTAGAACACTTTGTTGTTAGTTAACTGATACTAACACCAGCACAGGGGGTTAGAAACTGGAAGCAAAAGTGCTTTTACCGACAAAGGGGTTCCAAGAATTAGAAAGCCTGGGAGTTCCCATGCAAAAAACATTGTGCTCTTTCCTTGTTCGATCACGGATGCTGTTCTCACCACAGAGAGGGCAAACATCCTAGAAAACTGCACTAGTGTTCTGTATCACATCACATATACTTTTTTAATTTGCTCTTCGGGAATAAGACAGATTTGCAACATAGAAATACAATAAAGCACCTATAAAACCTCAAAATGAATTTGCATTTAAAAAAACCAAACAAACAAAAAAACCAGGAATAACCCCTTGAACTCTTAGGCAATCTAAAACACCCCCCAAAATTGATTGCAAAAGGGACCACAAGATTTAGCACCTCACAAGCTCTGCATGAAGACAATTTCAATGTATTGATAATACAAAGCAAATCAGCTCTTGCCGAAGTTTTACAATTTAAAAAGGGAAAGAAGTTATTTGAAATAAGTCTTTCTGTTACACTATCAGCGAAGAGGGTAACAGAAGACGCAATCTGATTCGGTTATTACTTAGGACAGAAAAGCTTTTCAATCAAATTACAATTTGCACTGAGAACAGAAGTTGCTCAAACAGAACATCAGTGCATGCAAAATATCTAAATTAAGCTCTGAAAAAGAAACCCGAGTTATACAGGGAGCTAAAGATCAGAGCAGAAAAGTGACCGGTGAGATAATTCAATCTTCCCTCTTCAAAAAACAGCTTGTATATTTTTATCTAAAAAGTGTAAAACCACACAAACTTCACCGCCTCATCCAAACTAGGTCATTTCTTTGGTAGCATGGGGTATGTCTTTTCAGTGTAGCTTTTAATGAGATACGGCTTGCGATTGTCCTGTCTCTCCTCCTACTCTCTCAAAAACACTTGGGCCCCAACTGGACTGATTGGTTTCATGAAAACGAGCTGCTATATGGGGAAATGAAAGAGAAACGTAACGCAGTGTCC